CCGAACTTGATCCTGTGACTCCTGCTGACGTCCGACGTCTCCTTGAGAAGTTGGATGCGCGGAAAGCCACAGGTAGTGACGACATACCGGGCTCTCTGCTACAGCAGTGTGCTGACTTGCTTGCATATTCTCTTGCTGTGCTGTTCTGCACCTCGCTGAGGACTGGAACCATTCCATCCGCATTTAAATTGGCGTCTGTCGTGCCACTGTACAAGGCCGGGGACCCATCAGTCCCCACCAACTATAGACCTGTATCCCTTCTCCCAATAGTGTCCAAGTTGCTGGAGAGGGTAGTGCAACACCAGTTAGTTCGTCATTTGGACTTGACCAAGGCATTACCCGAAACACAATTTGCCTTCCGCAAGAAATGTTCCACGGAAGACGCCCTCTGTGTGCTGACCGATAATCTGCAGAAGGCGAGAGACAGTGGCAAGACCACAGGGCTGTGCCTATTAGACATGTCGAAGGCTTTTGATAAAGTGCACCACGACAAGTTAATTCAAGACCTCCTTGCGGTTGGAATTTCTGGAAAAGCCCTCAGTTGGTTCGTCGACTACTTGTCCGGCCGCAAGCAGCAGATCCTCATCTCGCCTTCAACCAGCCCTGCTCTGGCTTGCACCTGCGGAGTGCCCCAAGGCTCTGTTCTCGGCCCTGTCCTCTTCAGTATATACACGAGATGTCCCTTTGGTTTCCTCGCCTGTGCCAAGTGTACAATTTGCAGATGACATAGCCCTGTACGACTCCTAGACCTCAGCGGCGGAAGCGTCCAGAACCCTCACCACAGCGGCAACTGCTCTGGCCGGTTGGCTGAAGTCCCGAGGCCTGATCTTGAACGCCGCCAAGAGCCAGGTTCTGACTATCTCTCCCCTGCAGCATGTACAGGAAGTAACAGTCAAAAGCGGCGACTGTCTCCTCCCTTCAGCGTCTTCTGCGCGCTACCTCGGCGTTCACCTTGACAATCGCCTAGATTGGGACACCCATGTAAACTATGTGGTCACCAAGGTTGCCAAGAAAATTGGCGCCTTGTGGCGGGCACGCGGAAGCCTATCAAGACGCTCTCGTCAGGTGTATGTGAAGGCGGTCATAATGCCCGACCTGCTTTAGGGCTCCTGCTGCTTTTCAGCCGCAACGCGAGAGCGTCAACTGAAACGACTGCAAACCGCGCAAAACAGAGCCATCCGCTGTATCGATGGCAACCCGCCCCGGACAGCCATGCAGCCGCTGCTCACTGCTCACTCCCTGTACCGTGTCAGCGAGCTCTACAGGCAGAAAATATTGATCACCATCTGGCGGTGCATCCACGTCGGCCACGCCCGCACCAGCCCTGTGCTCGCCCAGCTCCTGACCCCGGCACAAGGCACCCCTACCCGCCATCAGCAGTCAAATGGCCTACTAAGCCAGGCAAACCGTAGCCGCCGCGGTCAGCGGAGATTTTCTGTTGCTGCCAACTTGCTGGTGCTCTGCTGTGGAACGCTCTCCCTGGTGAGGTCCGCGCAATTACCCAGCTACCTGTGTGCATGTGTATCATACGCCTGTAGGGAGTAGTTCGAGTTGCTGCTGATCGCTCTGCTCTCCCTCCCCGTGCAGTTCAGTAATCCTCACGTAGTATCACAGATACATCGTATTCTCTCTCTCCCCCCGTTTACTCGCAGTTATTAGTATCCTATTTTCTTACTATGTGCTTCCATAGCTTTTACTATGTTCTTCCATAGCCACTTCTAGGCTAAGCCTTCGCCGTCATTTTATTGGGTCGTCATCCCGTTTGGATGTGCGAAGTGAAATAAAAACCAACCAACCAACCAACATTATTTCTCCTTGAATGAAGCAGAACCAAGTTCACAATATACCCTTATTTCTATTAATCGCCGTGGTTGGCAATCACCCACTCTCGTAATATTGGCCGGTGTTTCCGCCGAGTCTTGAGATGTTGCAATAAATAAAAAATAAATAAAAATACCAGTTTTTCATGAAGACCCCAAAAAAGTAGCTTCGAAAGGTGTGCCATTCAAATAATAGCTCCAGGAAATGATAAAACAGTTCGTCTGTCACGCTCCTGAACTATCCCTAATAGTAGTGAGTAAATACTATAATAATTCTGTGTCAGGCCTTATCTTGCTAAAATTCAACTCAAGTCGTGTCAATAGCGATTCTGCGAGTTATCATGGAAAGCGCAGTGTTCGGAATGCTAAAAATTTCCAAGTACGAATCGGGAGTAGTCGGCGCACGACGCCGTCTCCTGTTCACACTCAAATTCTGTCCCCGGGGAAAATTGCGGAAAAAAATCGCAAAAAACGCGGGGAAAAATGCGGCATAATATGGCATAATTTGCGGTGAATTTGCGGTAAATATGCGGTGAATAATATTGATGTGCGGCAATTCTCAGTGAGTATGTAGTGCAATCAATCAGTTACAAGTCTCTAGCTCTGGTGTAAGCACTCGTAAAAAGCCGCCACGATGAGACGTTGCTGACCGAACAGTGCACTGTGTGTACGTGTAGTGCAACAAAAAAGTTCAAAAAACGCGGGAAAATCGCGGAAAACGCGGTCTTTTAAAAATCGCAAAAAACGCGGCCGCGGAATCGCAGTTTTCCCCGGGGACAGCAAATAATTGCAGCTGTTTTGTACGCTTGCGTCCCCGTCTACGCCCGTCTACGGTATGAAAAGTTGGATCGATCCAACTCTTCCCGTCGCTTCCCGATCCGTACGGCAGTAGATCTACGGTTGCGTTCCCGTTCCTGGTGTTCACATTGGACGCCGTCGACGTCAGACTGTCCCGTCACTTCCCGTCGATCCATACGTCGGGTCCCGTCGCGCCCCGTCGAATGTGAACTATAAAAATTAATATTGTAGGCATACTCAGCGAGTGCGAAAAAATGGCACAAAACTGACAAGTCGTCGAGTTGTCGCGTTATGACGAAACTAGTGCTAGTAGTAGTAGTAGTAGTAGTAGTAGTAGTAGTAGTAGTAGTAGTAGTAGTAGTAGTAGTTTGTTTTCCGGTGTCCTGAAGTTTTTTCTTCTGTATGAATCTCGGTTTCATTTCTGGCGGTGTTCAAGCAGTTCTGGTTTGGATGTTTTCTTTCCTTTTCTTTCCCCTTTTTCATGTATAAACATTGCTGTTGCCATTAATATTTGTTATCTTTCTATTTTGTTACAATTTTGCTGTTCGCCTTTTGAATTCATTGCCCTCCTTGCATTCACATCTTCATTGCTTTGTGCTTTCAATAAAAACACATTTCAGTAGTAGTAGTAGTAGTAGTAGTAGTACTTCGAAGTACTTCGAAGTAAGACACCCACACATTGTGTGGGTGGCGCAAACAGAGTAGGGGGACGCTTAAGTTAGGAGATAAGGGATGAAGCCAGCATGATCATAGTATGTAATGCATATGCAGAAGTAATAATGATGTTAATCTTAAAAACAATAGTGCGGTGGACCTGCGCAGAGGAAAGGCATCATGGACATGATCTACGTGTATAACATAATAATAATATTAATAATATTATAAGTGAGCTAGGGCACATCATACACACACATATGCGCATGTTCAAATAGGAGATCAACCTGATAGGGCGTTCGCCGGCGTTGGGTAATCTTGAAATAAAGATATTGATATTATTGAAGAGATTATTATCATACGCTCACATAAACACCACATACCAACCATGTGCACCCACCCCCACACACACACATGCGCGCGCGCGCACACACACACACATGCGCGCGCCCACACACACACATGCGCGCGCGCGCACACACACCTTCCTTCCTTCCTTCCTTCTTCTCCACTGCCATGACTGGCTAAGTGGCCCCATACGGGGCAGCTCTTGGATTAGCGCTGTCTCCGGGAAGCGGCACCAGGACCCGACGACTGACGTGACGGCGCATCAACGATGTCCATTCCATACTTTTTGAGCTGACGACACTTTTTGCTTTGGACGCCGTATTCAAATTTCCGTCAGTGTCGACAAGAGTCCTGACGTTCCACGTTCCCAGAGACAGAACAACCTTTCGAGCCGCTGGTGCACGCGAGTGAAAAGACTCTGGGCGAGGGTTTGCAAGACCTCTACACCCAGGCGAAAGAGGGTCAGCGCGAGTGGTCACATCCGAAGTGGCTATGTCGTCAACGCTGAATTTTTCCTCCTCCGCGGCAGCAAGATGAAGACTGCCTTGTCTAACACCGCGTCACTAAGTGTTTTCTACTCACCAGGGCTGGCCCTGGCAGAAGCCAGGAGCCAGCCCGTGGCCCTAAACTCACTACGAAGAAAGAAGAGTTCGGAGCCCCAAAAACTGCTTCCTCCTCTCTCAAGAGAAAACTCAAACACACACACACATGCTCGCACGCACACACGCACGCACACGCACACACACACATACACACACCACACACACACACGCACACACATACACACACCACACACACACCACACATACACACACACACACACACACACACACACACACGTACACACAGACACACACGTGCACATTCACGCAGACGCGTAATCATACATAATATTTGTGCACAGACTCACTCTCTCACAGCAACGTCCAGAAAACCACCACCTCGAAGCCCTACAGCCGGTCGGTCGCCCAGTCCCAGGCAGTGGCTCGAGCGCAGGAATCGGTGTATGAGCTAAAGTGAAAGTAGTGAAAAGTTGTGCAGCGTGAATGCGTTGGGGAGCACACAGGGGGGGGGGGGTATGTACATGGCGTGGGCATGATGACGAAACTACCGGGTAGTAGAGTCTACTACATGTAGTCCTGCTCAATGAAATCCAGTCGCGTCACTCAAGTTTGAGCCTTGCACCATTTCGCAGCCCAGTGTTCGCAGGTCTAGGACTGCGTAACGCCCGGCGCTTTCTTGAGTGACGTGACTGGATTTCACTGAGCAACACTGTACCACATTGTACTAGTAAGTACTAGTACTTCGAAGTAAGACACCCACACATTGTGTAGGTGTCTTACTTCGAAGTACTAGTAGTAGTTTCGTCATCATCCAGCATCGGTACCTTTCGGCTTTCTTTGTTTCCGTGTAGCGTAGCTCGCACTCTTCTTCTTTGAGCTTTCCTTCCCCTCTTGGACCTCTTTGAACCTGACTGTGAGCCTTTCAAGTTGGAAGGTTGTTGGTTTGCGCCTTGGAGAAGTGTTGGAGCTACATTTACGTGTCATGTGGCGAATGTCTCAGTACTCCTTGTCAGGTTTGTGCCTTTTTGTCGCACTCGCCGACTGTATAAGATCTGGTTACTTTGGTGGAAAGTTTGTCATAACTCGTAACATTTTGTCCTTCTCCATTTTTTATCAAGTATTTTATTTATTATTGGACGAGCTGGGAAAAAAAGATGGAGAGAATTGGAAGCAGAAAGCGCTCCCGATCCCGTGGGAGCCCTGAGACGCTGATGGCCGAGAATCCAGGGAAAAAAAGATGGAGAGAAGAACTGAGAAGCGGTAAGTTCTAGGAAAATTCGTAAGCGGTATTGAGTCTGGTCGCCGAAGAACTGGGGAGTCAGCCTCGAGAGTCGTAGCCTATAGGACGTTCTCGTGCACTACAGTCTACGCACAGTTGAGTCACCGCTTATACACTGTATTGGTATGCTGTAAGAAAAGTAAAGTTTGCATATCCGCGTTACCATCGGCTGTGCTTGGTGAAATTCTAGCCTGGTCGTTCTTTGGCGCTCCGTTCTTCGGCGCCCGTCTTATAACGGGTTGTCTTGTACCTGTACAGGGGTCTGGGGGGAAAACATTGTCTTAGCAATGAGGATACATCAGGCCAAAACAAATATTAGGCTTGTTTCCGGTCGGCAACCCCTCAGAAAGGAGACTCGGTCGGCCGGAATGAAACTTTTTTTGGTTCCTCAATCGTCGCGGAATTGATGGACAAGAGCACCAGTCCTACACACGGTACATAATTTTATCATGGCAAGGATCAATGTCAAAGTCGACTGACTCGCTGTTCTTGTACAGAATGTGGTGTATTCCTGTTTTCGTACATCCTGAGAAATCAAGCAAACAGTTCGAGTCCTTCCAGCTCCGTTATTCTAGCTCGTATCGACCCCGGAGGTTTTCGAGCCGACAGCTGAGAATCTCTGCTACCTTGTAGGTGTTTCGATTGTGGAATTCGGTTGAGATTTGACTGAGTTATGACTCGTTCAGTGCACTTGCACACATGGCATTGCCACCGTTTGTATACATTTGGGACCAAAACGTTTCAGAATTTGGGAAAATGTGGCCTGGTCGCCGCCCGGAAACAAGGTCATTATTATTTGTTTTGGCCTCATTAATTTTCATAGGCGGATATGATATGAACGTGTGAGTCCTGATAGTAGATATCCTTAGCTACAAAAACGCTAATGTAAACGCAATCCTTACCGTATCTCGGATCGTTCAAGATGACTTTTCCCTTAGCACAATGCACGTTAGAGTTCAGACAAAGTAGTCGCGACAGCCATGGCGATATGAATTTTCGTGGAAACAAGTGCGGGAAATTCAAAAATTTGAACCAGGGATTAGTTTGATGTTGTTCTGAATGAATACCTTGGCGAGGTCTTTCATTCGGGAGTGGCAAAGGCACGGCGAAAATGAGCTTTCGCTGTGCCCAGGTCCTTGGAAAACGTTTCCTACACGCAGCAGCGACAACTGTAAGGGTTCTCCAGCTCCAGCACGTCTGGGAGAGGCCGATGAATATCTACCTCAGGAGTGCCGCGGAACCGGTCCTTTGTTTCCCATATGGGATAGAGCCTTATAGAGGGTGAAAGGCACGAAGCAGAGGACGCAGACATTGTCAACTGAAAGGCAGAACTCACCAAAAAAAGCGAAGGGTCACAAGCGACTCTGGTCTCGATCTGCACGTGTTGCTTACATGTATCTCCCGCCAGTTACAAAACAATGCGAGTTTTTGCATTTTTTGCAGAATTACCATATCAAACGTCGGCCCGTTATTTTGAGCTCTGTAACGTATTTCCGTTACCCGATAACGTCTTTTGTGACGGCTGGGAGCGAGTACCGTAAAGGTTAGCGTTATCGTACTTTTGCTGAGGATCTCTAATAGATAAAACCCATTCTAAGAGAAAAATGTTTGAAACCTTCGGGTTTGTCTAGTAACGTGGGCAGACCTGTACTAAGGGGGCGTTCAAACTGTCTTCATCAACTGTTCGAACATTTTTTTTAAAGAGATTACTTGAAGTGTCCAATAGAACGGTTTCTATCATTAAAGTTTTTCAGTGGAATTGTCATGGTAATAATGATGTCAGATCAGATCGACCATCTCGATATTCCAAACTCTTCGAAACTAATCCACCTCTCCCATCGGATGAGGTTGTGGAGTTTCGAGGAGTTTCCTTTTTCTGAAGAGGTCAATAAGGCCACCTCTTCAGAAAAACGAAACTCCTCGCAAAGTCAAAGAGTGACAATTCGAACGCGCCCTTAGTTCCCATAAGGAAATCAGCCAACTCGCGCTGTATGTATGCTTAACGCTCATAAGGGAATCCGCTAGTTCATCGCCATGCTATATACAGATTGTTGTGCGAACTACGAAATGGAAAGCATTACATGGATGAACATTTCAGAATGTGGAGTCCTCTGGACTCATGAGTTGAATGGTGAGTTGAATGGTGTTGTTACTGCACAGTTGAAGAAGAGCAGTTATATCAAGCAACGGAAATGAGTCTGCATAACTTTCACCAAGATTCAACTGCTGCTACACATGGCGCACTGCAGCAGCAGCAGGTACCCCACTTGTCCAGTATGTTAAGTGCTGAATTAGATGCGGACATGAGTAACACACGCAGCAGCACCATTGGCATTGGCAGTTTTGCTGTAGAGTTTGGCGTTCCATCCGATATTGAATTTGATAGCAAATGGTCATTTACTCCAGCTCCTACCACAGTTTGGTCAAATTCTCCTGAGTCGTCGCCGTCCCGCTCGTCATTGTCATGCGCCCGTATAGACACCACTAGTAGTAACATGCCCACCAGTACTAGTGCTGGAGCTGTGTATCCAAAGGGTACCGACATGATCAGCTGTCCGTACTGCTCAGATTTTGTGCATGATCTGTATCTGCACCAAATGGAATGCGTTACAGCAAGTAGTTTTCTAACGCAAACGACAAGTACAGCAATGACGGGAGCAACGATGACCACGGGAGATGGCGAGCGGCATCCTGCTGGCGAAGCAACATCTGCTATTGCCATGGACATCTCAGACTGCTGCGTGTCGTGGTCATGCTAGCAGTCAGACCCCCACAATGACATGATGTTTCTGATTGTGAACAAGACAGAGATTTGGATGTGTAGAGAGCACGCTTTATTGTCAATCTTGCAACCTTGCCTATCACTCTTTTAATGATTATGTACTACAACACTACTCACTCCAGCGTGTGTGCTGCTTTTATGTGTTATCTTACTTGTATCTTTTATTTTTGTCACATGTTGCTTGTTGGAGACTGTTGTTTGTGTTGTTTTGTTCCTCACATCCCCATGCTATTTCTTCATTCTCGCGGTTTTTTGGCCCGTTCCACCAAATTGCGTGTTGCGTGTTGATTTTGTTTTGTTTAGGCCTTATATATGCGTAAATGATTATACGAAAAACATGGAAGTGTAATTAATGCTCAAGAAATTCAAACAGAAAAGTCATACTTGAAACAACATGCAATGATGCCTCCTGGAAGATGCTGCTGCCATCATCAGGCCTATCCGAAGTGTGTAAGGGTGACAGGGTGACGCAATGTCTCAGGTACAATCGAGATCGTGATTAGTTTGCGTTCAGTCAGGACTTGCCGGCCGCAAACTGATTGAGATTGAGTAGATTGCTTTTTACTTTTTACTTACACGAACCATTTAACAAATGTTCAATTTCCCAGAAGTGCACTGAAAGATCAACAAGAGTGTAGTGAAGGCCGGACAGTGCTGATAATATCTTTCAAGAACTAAAGGCATAGTGACAAACTCCATACTCGAGGTCAGAGCTCAGAAGTACCGGAGAATGGCTTGTGCTGTCCTTGCCTATTGAAAGTTCCTTCCCTCACAAAACTCAACTTCTGATGATAATTACTCTTTTTTCAGTGAGTTGTGATAGGTAAGGTCATCTGGGTCAGGCAGTCAGTCGACGATGGCAGCTTTATTTTCTGCTGGCACCGGGTATTCTGCAACCTGCGGATTGTAGATTGTAACGCTTGGTCAAATGTAGCTGGCACTGGCACTACAGTGTCTAGGCAATGTAAATAAGCAGCCAGGATGTCAGGCCTGCATTTTCAACAGAACTGGGTCACTAGGGCCAGTTATCATCGTCTGACAAATCAGACATGTCTTCGATGTTGAAGGACGATACAGCGATGGACGAGCCAGCACCCAAACTGCCTTGCCCACTCGCTACTCCTGTATCAGGACAAATAGAACACACAGAAACAAACTATTGCATTGCGTGGCAGACCAACAGCTACTGCTCCGTTTGCTTCATCTCAAAACATCATCTGTAACTCAGTACAGATCATAAAAACCGTGCTCCTTTTGAAACTACATATATTCGTATCCTAACCGTAACATAAAATCAGTGTAAACACACAGCCTATATGGCTAACACCCCCAATCAGTGTAAACACACAGGATATGGCGGCTAACATCCCCAGTCCCGCAGTCATCTGTTCACACTGGAGAGGCTAGACAAGATACCTGGGTTCTGGAAGTTCCCGGCAACCCAAGTGGAGAGAGAGAAAGCCAGCTAGCCAGCCAGCCAGCCAGCCAGTCAGACAAACATGCAGACAGACCGACAGACAGACATTGAGAGACAGAGAGAAACAGACAGAGAGATGGAGAGAGAGAGACAGAAGCAGACAGAGAGAGAGAGAGGGAAGTGGAGAATATTCGCATTATTTTACTCGTATGATGGAGGGAGGGAAAGAGGGAGAAGGTTGTAGGGAGAGAGAGAGAGAGATAGAGATAGAGAGAGAGAGAGAGAGAGAGAGGGGCAGATAGAGAGATAGAGAGAGAGAGAGAGAGAGAGAGAGAGAGAGAGAGAGAGAGAGAGAGAGAGAGAGAGAGAGAGAGAGAGAGAGAGAGAGAGAGAGAGAGAGGGGGGGAGATAGACTCATACTATTGCTATGTACTTTGTATTGAAGACTACTATTAATCGTACCGGCGTCTTTCCAAGAAGAGACAGATCCCTTCCTATTGTTAGCTGTACTGCTGCCATGTACTGCTTTGCCGGCACTCAGCACAGCTGTTGGTGAACTTGACCTGTAAGAACCATAAAAGATACAATTGCAGCCATCTGTCAAAGTAAGTAACGCATGCATCTGTCAAAGTAAGTAACGCATGCATCTGTCAAAGTAAGTAACGCATGCATCTGTCAAAGTAAGTAACGCATGCATCTGTCAAAGTAAGTAACGCATGCATCTGTCAAAGTAACTAACGCATGCATCTGTCAAAGTAACTAACGCATGCATTTGTCAAAGTAACTAACGCATGCATCTGTCAAAGTAAGTAACGCATGCATCTGTCAAAGTAACTAACGCATGCATTTGTCAAAGTAAGTAACGCATGCATCTGTCAAAGTAAGTAACGCATGCATCTGTCAAAGTAACTAACGCATGCATTTGTCAAAGTAATTAACGCATGCATCTGTCAAAGTAACTAACGCATGCATGTCAATTGAGATACCAGTACTTTGGTATGAACTAGTCCAGAACCATGGGCAGATAAATCCAAAACCATAGGCCACTCCAGAATCAAAGGCAGACCCGTCCAGGACCATCGGCAGACCAGTCCAGGACCATCGGCAGACCAGTCCAGGACCATAGGCAGACCAAGACCGGCACCACTGGTACTGCAGGTATGGCCGTATCAGTTTCACCCATTACAGTGCTCACTCCAGCAATGCCCACAAACATTCATAGCTGTTGTCTATACCCCGTGTGTGTGTGTGTGTGTGTGTGTGTGTGTGCGCGTGTGTGTGTGTGTGTGTCCCATATGGTGCAGTAGTATGTGCAGCAATTTCCAGTTGAGAGGTTGCGGGTTTGATTCCCGACGATAATGGTCAAACATGTCTTTCTTCTCTTTCTCAGACTCCTCCTGACTTTTCTTTCATTCTCCTGGGTGGTTACCAACAGCCAGTGCATGTGTGGTGTGAGGTGTGTGTGGGGGAAAAAAGAACAAAAGACCAAAAAGTAGGGATTCCGACTGGCCAGAAAAAGCCACTTCATAGCTGTGTGGTGTAGACCAGGCTGAATAGTGGCGGTCAATTCTTCAGCCTTGCAAGCTGCTGAATGGTGAAATCCCAGCACAAGTTGCTATGGCTTCTGCTGTAGCATCGCTATCATCACCTCCGGCGATGGGCGTCCAATGGTGTGTGTGGTGTGTGTGTGTGTAATCAATGGTGCTAGCGAAGCTTCTATCAGATTCACTCTGACCTGGCCACCCACACTAGAAAACGTATACCTTGACTGGGGGGGGGGGGGGGGGCAGGGGTAGCACGGATATTCTGATGCCGTCAATCCTTTTTTTGCACCTTGTCCTCACCAACTTACTGCGGTGCGTTGTGGTCATATTCCAAGTCCACCCAGAGTTTGGGGATTTCCGGGGGTGCCGGCTGTTGGGCGGTTCAATAGCCGATTGAGTCCTCTCTCCAAGATTCCTTTCGAATCTCTCTCCCCTCCCCCGGGGAGACCCACATGACAGTTTTGGCAGTGAGCAAGTACAAGTGTGTGTGTGTGTGTGTGTGTGTGTGTGTGTGTGTATGTGTGTACCTTGCTGGAATCTTGGCCTGATTACCACCATCTTCCAAAGATGACAAGCTGAAAGTATCCTCGTCTTCAATACCAAGTTCCTGCACACATGGAGAGAAGTACATTAAAAATGAATACAAGTGAGGCAAGTGAAGCAAGTGAGGCTATTCTTCAGCATGTGTTCGTGTACTAAGTAAAAGACTAGGTGGGCAGAACGTGCTTCAAAGTAAAGGCATAGTTATTCATCAGTCGAGGGTGTTGAAAAAGGAAAAAAGTCTGAAGAAAAGCTTGAGTGTCACCACCAGGCTCAAATCAGGAACCTTGGCCATAGGCCAGCGATGATCTACCACTGCGTTGTTCTGCAGCCATCATCCCAGCAGAGACCGTTAAACATTCTCTTCAGACTTCGAAACTCACTAACTAAAGTGTTTGTTGCTTTCGATTTTGCTTCACAGAGGTTAGTCCCGGTCCAGTAGTGTACAATAACCTTATGAGAGGCAAGTAGTTCAAAGTTGGTCAATTGAGTAAATTATCGTGTCCGCTCCCGAAGGGAACTCAACGACAGCTGTTAACACCCGGTAAACCCAGTGGCAGATGCAGCGCCTAACACTGGGGGCGAGGGGATACCGCCTAACACTGGGGGTGAGGGGATAAGTCTCACAACCATTGGCACAAGTGCCGAAAACCCCATTAGCCGCATCCATGTACCCCTTGTGCCTGGCCACAAGTTCCCTCCCAGTTGACAATGCACTACTATGTTGTTAGTTTGACAGCATGAAACAAGGCGGAGGACACCGTGTTCGGAAACAGTGACCTTACTACAGCCATCCACGGTTGGTAGAGCCTCGGTCCGTTGGGACCATCTGAACCATATGGGCGTTGAACCCGGTTCTGACCCTCATTATGCTAGGGGAGGTTTTAGACTTCTCCAACGGACCGGGGCTCTACCAACCGTGGATGGTTGTAGTAAGGTCACTGTTTCCGAACACAGTGTCCTCCACCTTGTTTCATGCTGTCAAACTAACAACATGTGTGAAATATCAAGGTTTATCTAATACTAGTATTGAACTAGTATAATGTATTGGGTTATAATACCATGTACCAATGTACTACTAGAACTGTGTACTACTAGTACTACTTTCAAGCTTTATGTCATAAAGCTTGAAAGTGCTACGTCACAGCCAGCCTGTAGTCACGACAACGCTGACTTTCGGATCCACTTGGGTCCAGTTTTTGTATGGATTCATGCACATTTGGGTGGTTTTCCTTCACAGCATATTGACACATCTACTTGGTCCGGCTCATCGCAATTGTCGCTTATCTCCCACGCACTTTTTGACACGTAAAACCCAGTCCAATCACGATATCTAACTTACTTTTGCTTGGGAGGTTGTGATGGCAAGATCAAATGAAGCACCAAAGAAAAATGGTCGCGACTAGCGCTTTGAATCGCGATGTGTTCGACTTTTTGGGAAGTGGAAATCTGGCCATTCACTGTCTGTGTTGCCGAAAGCCAAGCGCAGCGATCCGAAGACCGTGACAGGCACGCGTGCACGGCAGAGTAGTATGAGCGTCATGCTGAAGAAGAAAGGTGTTTTCGATGGATGCGAGCATGGCAGGGACGTTTTGGTTGTTCCTTTTGTTCCTTCGTGGACCTGGCAGCAGCATTACAAGAGCATGACAGCTGTCTGGAGAGGCCTGTATGCCTCATTCGAAGGCTCTGTTGAAACACACTGTGCATGTGGTGACACACAGGCCACACTGCCCACGGTTCCCTGAGCACCGAAGTGACAGACACAACTGTTCCTTTCCCATTGCTGCCATACGACAGGCTGACAAAGCAAGAGATGCTCTACCAATCTACGCCAGCAGCTAGACACCATCAATTTAGTGTCAGCTCATGTAATGGCGGCAGCTCGAGTGATGGAGAGTTGAATAAACTCTGGACCTGTAAGAGTGTGAGTGCAAGAACGCGCTCCTTCGCTGATTTATTTCGTGCATTTTGCTTACCTTGCTTCCCTTCTATGACTCGCTTCACTTGATTCCATGGCTGAATTTTTTTTCTTGTGGCGGAGAGTATTCATGTATCATGCTTCCTCACTATGCCTATTGAAAATTTCACAGAGCGCCAACAAAACTCCTGTTCTTAGTGGCGATAGATAAGCGACAATTGCGATGAGCCGGACCAAGTACCGGTAATGACTGGATTGGGCCCTCCCGGTCAAGAACCTACTCAAAATCACACATATGCCGGTGCGACATGAGAGATCCACATGCTATACTTCGCCATTTCTTTTTCTTTTTCCCTTCCGGTTTAGTTATTACATGTATTTATATTATTTGGTGCAATATTAGCACCTCTTTTTCGTACCAAATTATCATTTTTTTGCTACTTCACCCTGCAAGCCCCCCCCCCCCCCTTCGATGCCAGGTTGCAACGCTAACGCCAAGACCTCCGGTAGGTCGAGTTGCTCCCTGTACATCGGCACGTCGTCCCTGCATCCCCTGGGTCTTGTTTTGTGTTTGTCTCCATATGTCTCTTGGTAGGGCTGTGTTGTTAGTAAAAAAAATGGGCAGAGTGGATCCAAAACTCGGTTAGATTCGGACTTATGACGGTCTATGACGTCATCACTTTCAAGCCCCATTGCCGGTAAAATCTCACAGGTCCGCGCTGTCATGATCTGGTCCCAGTGGCAAAACAAGTATCAAATACACGTGAGACAGTGTATGGCTAGCCTCCATTGGGTTGTTCCCTTCATTAGTCTAATCATATGTGGAGTAGGGTGTATGATATCAAGTAGTGCATGTACGTGATGTAATTCTGGATTTCATTATCTGAAAATACCACATTCAGCAGACCCCCACTTCCCCCCCAAAAAAACAGCCAGCAGTAGTACTTGCATGTGCACCGTGCACATCACACGAGAGTTGGAAGCAGGTCCAAGACCATAAGATCCATGTCAGAACAAGAGAGTGCTGCTGGATGCATGTCAGAACAAGAGAGTGCTGCTGGATTCATGTCAGAACAAGAGAGTGCTGCTGGATTCATGTCAGAACAAGAGAGTGCTGCTGGATTCATGTCAGAACAAGAGAGTGCTGCTGGATTCGTGTCAGAACAAGAGAGTGCTGCTGTATTACTTACACTTGTAGGTAGCCTAGCAGCCTGTGCAGTTCTTGTCCCTACTGGTGCCTTTCTCAGGTCTAGACCACCAGCTGGAGGTCTTGTCGGTGTCATATTCATTGACGAGCTCAGTGATGCTGCCAGCTACAGAACAGGACATGTAGTATGTAGTATGTGGTTTGTAGTATGTAGTCATGTGACAAAGCAAAGCACGCACATTACACCAGGATTGATTTACAGTTGGTCCTAGTGATGTGGCACCTCTTCACGGGTAAAATCACTTGTTCACTGGTCAAAGCACATGTTGAAGCAAAGCTTTATCTGGCCTTATTATACACTGTTTATCTGAAACACTTGCCGTGTGCTACCAATACGGACTATTCTTTCATGACAGCTTACCCATAAAGCATAACATGGCCAGCAATCAAGGACATCTGAGAGTTGTAATTTTTGTACTCCTCCGAGGTGTGATTTTTGGCGTGCTGGGCTAAGCACAAGGAAGCCATCTGCAAAAAACTGCAGAAAATGGTTGTTGTTTGATCCTTTGGTGTAATCTTTGTTTCTAGTCGAAGCTAGTTGCTGTTTGGAGCAGAAACGCTGAAATTGACTATTTTCTGCATGTACTCATACATGTACTCATGTACTCAGGCATGCAGTCTCACTCGTATTTTAGCTATTTTTCTGGAATGGATGCTGCTCTGCGCCCCTTGGTGAACATTTCCTGCGCTCGTGGAGCAGCTGAAAAGGACCACTGGTATGTCTGGTTCCTGGTTTGAAAGTGGAGAGTCGACTTTTGTGCCTTGAAAAAGGAGTAGAGAGCGATAAAGGTACGTCTGTGGCTGATTTTTGAGTGCTCCTCGTACATTTTTGATCGTGATAGAAATTCTCAGACCAAAGTCAGACCAAAGTCAGCGCGATGATGGTCGTACAGTTTTCTTGTGAATTTTTTAGTTGTTTCATCTCGTATCTATGTCAGTATTGTGATGGTGAAGTGGAGAGGGTGATTTTCTTCCTCTAGGCTTCGTTCGGCCGACTTTGCTTCGTCCTCGTTGAAAAGTGATCCTGAAAAAAAGGTCGATTCGCAAAATTATGTTGATTTTCAATGTACGAGATGACATGCGATTGCTGGCTATGAGTGCAAGCAGCCACGATGATACACAGTTGAATGGCACAAACAGCGTCAAAACACAGTAGCCACTTTGCACCGAGTTCGTCTACTTCTACTGGTAGACTTGGTGCAGCCATGATGAGCACGCCCTGGATCTCAGAATGGCATGTGGGTTTAAACACTAATAAGGAACCAATGTTGACAAAGAGGGATCCACAGGTAAGATACAAACCCTGCACCCCTTTGTTTTGGGAACAGTACCCCCCCCCCCCCTCCCCCCAACTAGACTACCTGGATCACCCACAGCCCCTTCTTCACTACACAATCATACTTGTTTAACTTGCTCAGGGTGCAAACGCCGTTCTCCCTTCACATGATCTGGCATGATAAGACAGCACACAGCACTTACCTCACGCACTCTCCCAGTGCCTTGAATAGGGGCATCATCACTATCCACTTCACCCACCGCTAATGTCTCTGTGTGTAGGCGAGCTGGTATATGCTGTGGCGAAGATTCGGCCAATTCATCACTGCCACTCAAGTCGCTCAAGGAGTCATCCATGTCTTTCCCAACATGTCCACCTGTATGCACCACTGAGGCTGCTGTTGCTGGTGGTTGTAAAGCTGAAGCTGCTGGTTGGCCGACTGCCTCATTAAGTTCACTGTAGATTAAAAACAGTAGACAATAGAGCATGGCATTTCTACACCAGTCTCAAACGCATTCTACACCAGTCTCAATCGCATTCTACAGGAATAGACCAGATGTACATGTATGCAACTAGACTTACCTCGTCATACTATCTAGTATCTATAGTGCTACTAAGTCACCTGATGAATGAATTTGGCAGGAAAAGACAAACTCTAAAACCTGCCTTTTCCTCTCAGGTGTAGTGCTATTAAAAGTAAGCCGTGTTGAACAGTGAATTAGTGAGCACAAGCTATAGAAAAGACAGTGTTACAAGGTACAGAACAGTCATCCTATGTTTTAGCTGGGCTAGCTGGGTATGCATAGTTACTTTTCTACTCCTCATCAACACTGACAACAGAGCACAATGATGTAATTCAAGTTCTTCACAAAAACAGGTGTGTGGTGGTCTTATACTCCCGTGGCTATTGGCTATTATGCTGCACTGATCAACAATTTACCTGATGCTTTCCTCCCAAGAACTGTCATCCTCATCATCTTCTGGAGACGCTTGCTTTCTTGCTTGTGCCAATGAACTGACACCCCTCTGCTTCTTGTCAACATCACCACCGGCAGCGTTGGCAGGAATTGTCGGAGTTGCTGCCTGCGCGGATCTAGGTAAGCGTGGATCAGGCGCAGCAATGCCTGATTGAGGCTGCGACCTATCAGTAGTAGTAGGGGCAGCAGGACTGGCACGTTCAATTGCAGGGGGTTTGTTAGCATAGCCTGGTTTACCCGGCTTACTGCTGGACCCTGGTTTTGATGGAGGCTTGGCAACGGCATACACTGGACTTTCTGCTGGTACAGCTGGGCGCTGTACAGCTGACTGACTTGACTGAATTGGCTTGGTATTAACACGACGTGCAGCGGCTCCTGTTCTGTCAGCTTTCCTACCTCCTTGCTCTTCTTCGTCATCTTCATCATCCGACAGTGGCGATGAAGAATCACTAGGCTGATACGGATCTCCAGCATGTACAACGGGACGCCTGAACAACAAAATAATACACACCCTTATTAGTAATTCTCCACCAGAATCCCGACAAACAAGCATGGACACACTCTGTACGCAAATGTACATTTTTCGCAGCTCAAGTATCCAGGAGAGAGGTGAGTGGCATTCTTTCAACTCAGCAAAGGCGAGGTAAAGTCAAGGATGGGTCATAATGTTTCTGACAATCAGGGTGGGAGGTGAAATGGATCCTTCATTTCAATGAGCTCATGATGGCGAGGACACTGTTGACGTCTTGGCCTGCACGTTTACCCTTCCAGGTATTCAAGTCCAGACCTGCACGTTTACCCTTCCAGGTATCCAAGTCCAGACCTGCACGTTTACCCTTCCAGGTATCCAAGTCCAGACCTGCACGTTTACCCTTCCAGGTATCCAAGTCCAGACCTGCACGTTTACCCTTCCAGGTATCCAAGTCCAGGTATCCAAGTGCAGGTATCCAAGTGCAGGTATCCAAGTGCAGGTATCCAAGTGCAGGTATCCAAGTGCAGGTATCCAAGTGCAGGTATCCAAGTGCAGGTATGGGAGTGCAGGTATCCAAGTGCACGTATCCAAGTGCATGTATGGGAGTGCAGGTATGGGAGTGCAGGTATGGGAGTGCAGGTATGGGAGTGCAGATGGAAGGAAGAACAAAGTACATGATATACTGTGATATACTAGCCCAAAAACCATTTAGGGTTGTCGAGAGCATTTAGGGTTGTTGAGAGCATTTAGGGTTGTTGAGAGCATTTAGGGTTGTTGAGAGCATTTAGGGTTGTCGAGAGCATTTAGGGTTGTCGAGAGCATTTAGGGTTGTTGAGAGCATTTAGGGTTGTTGAGAGCATTTAGGGTTGTTGAGAGCATTTAGGGTTGTTGAGAGCATTTAGGGTTGTTGAGAGCATTTAGGGTTGTTGAGAGCATTTAGGGTTGTTGAGAGCATTTAGGGCTGTTGAGAGCATTTAGGGCTGTTGAGAGCATTTAGGGTTGTTGAGAGCATTTAGGGTTGTTGAGAGCATTTAGGGTTGTTGAGAGCATTTAGGGTTGTTGAGAGCATTTAGGGTTGTTGAGAGCATTTAGGGTTGTTGAGAGCATTTAGGGTTGTTGAGGCAGAATAAAGTGATCCGAAAAAGAAGTCAATGTTATTTTGTCAGACTGTATCTTGTCCAGATGGTGTGCTGGGATATGTGCCGGCCATACAACTTGCAACTGTGGCAACACTCGGGATCATGCCAATGCTTGAACCCCTGCCAACTGTCCCCGATACTGGGGCATACGTGACCACTGCCAAGTGTCTCGACACTGGGGGATGCTTGAATCCCTGCCAAGACACAAGGGGATGCTTGAATACAATACCTGTCTGTTAGTGCACTAACCACCAGCTCACACCGCTTAGCACTACCATACACGTATAGGCAGTCGCACAAGCAAGGTCTGGTGACATAGACATGTCATACATGTATACGTACTGTTGGCCAAGTCTTTTGTTGCTCGGTTCCAGTGGAGTGCTTGAAGATATTGGTCTACCTGCCGATACATTAGGTGTTGTGGCCTTGGATGATTTCCCAATTGTAGATGTATCTTGCTTCTTGCTAGAGCCTCCAGGTGTAGACGACTGAGTTTTCAATGGTGTCATGGGTGGCCGTGACTTATCCGAGTCTAAAGCCACATGTCAGAACAATAGTGGAAAATACAGGGGAAGAAACACGATTGCAGAGCAGCAAAGTAAACTGCAAGCAAAGTAAACTGCAAGCAAAGTAAACTGCAAGCAAAGTAAACTGCAAGCAAAGTAACCTAACATCATACATGTACAAGGCGCTCAGTTACCGTGTTGTATAAATAATTAATGTTGTATAAATAATTAATGTTGTATAAATAATTAATGTTGCATAAATAATTAATGTTGTATAAATAATTAATTGTCCCCACACAGATGGGATGTTAAGGTCCGTATTCCTATAGAGGCTCAGAATGCTATCATAGACCATGCTGTTTCCTTACGCAGATGGTCAGTGGAAAGTGTCATGGATATATCCAAAGGCAAAGGTAAGGAAGTGCACACAGATAGCGAGGAGTGATGCATGCCTTATCAGAACAGTCCACAAAAAAATGGAACAGATTCAATTTTTACTTTTTGTCTTGGTATTTTGATTTAAAAGCTTTGTAGCGGTAAGACTGCGGAGTGTTTTGCTCTGAAGCAAATGTTCACGACCATGGCCCTGCTTGGACTAGAAGCAGCATGCCAGATAGGTGAGTTTTGAGGTGCTGTATTAATGGGAATACTCCTTTAAGAAAATATGGTTTTCTAAAGCAACTTTTCTAACAGACACAGCATCATACAAATCACTATTTCACTACCCATCAACTAGCCATCAACTACCCATCAACTACCCATCAACTACCCATCAACTAGCCAAAGCTGGAGATAATACAGTAATACCTGGGTTAAGCGACCTCTGCTACTGGCAACCACCTGATTTCCATGCACCGGCAGTTCTGCATAGAAACTGCACCGGAAACAGTGATCACTTCAGTTGCGTGGCCAGCGGTGGACTTTTAGTGTATCAAGTGCGAGATCTGACCTGCTTACAGCGACCACAAGTGCTGTCCTGGCTGGTAGGCTTACTGCAACAGGGCTGAAGTAATGCCAGAAGCGAGTGCGGTCAGAAGCGAGTGCATGCAGTCAACGGAAGTGACAGTGCTTGGTGCGCTGCATGCACTTAAGTGCGGTGTGAGGCTCATGCGTGCTTTGTTTGCATGAAGAAAGAGTTCTATGCCCAACACCAGTCTATAATTATGAGAACATGAACGTATGTGCATGAACGTATGTGCATGAACGTATGTGCATGATCCGGTATGCTGTGCGAATATATGGAACTTTGGTCTGAAAACTTGAAAGGCCGCTCTTGCTCGCACTGTGGGGTGGTTACTTAAGCCAGATCTTACTGCAGTACGAAAAGGAGAAATATCATTCTTTGAAAGAAAAGAAGATTATGGTTTTGTCCACCACTACATCCCTTGCAACTTGACTACAAACCTGCCCCATCTCTTGCAGGTAAAGCAGCTCATTGTTTGCCTGCATTCGGCTGCGGACACCATTTACTAACAACAACTAATGGGTGCACACACACAAAGCTTATCAATTATCTGTCCTGGTGGTAATGGAGAAATAGCACCTCGTACATCAAAAGAAGTATTTCGAAGTAGAATATCTCAAAACCTGGGCAGAACCTCTACTAACAGTTCTGCTTTGGAGAAGTCACTGGTTTGGGGGTTTGGCAAACTCGAAGGCAACGTGATCAGCACAAAAAAACATACATGTAGTTCAGTTCTGTGGCTTGTGACCTCGGAGAAAATGTCAATTTGGCTCTAGGTATAGTGTACCGCCGCTAGAGGCTTTTGCTCATCACATCATCGTGCACATGCATAGTATGGAGTGCCAACCGAGTGCTTGGCATGAAGATATTTCAAATGTGTAATGACTAAATCGCACAGCCGTTTGCACGTCCGATGCAATCTACTCTTGACCACTTCTTCGAAGATATTTCATTTCTTCCCGGTGCATGCACAGGCACAGTACCAGAAAGTCTACCCTAGTCTACCCTAGTCTAGTCTACCCTAGCCTAGTCTACCCTAGTCTAGCCTAGCCTAGCCTAGGTACAACTACTGGATGTAGCATACCGGTAATTTTTAACGCTTGGTTTGACTCCATACATGATGACATAGACTATCGTGTACACTTCCATTGTTGGAGAAGTTTGCTTGTATAGCCGGGCTTAGCTGGGCTTGTATAGCAGCCGGGCTTAGCCGGGCTTGTATAGCCGGGCTTAGCTGGGCTTGTATAGCCGGGCTTAGCCGGGCTTAGCTAGTAGTTCTACAACACTGGTCCGTGATAGTACTGGAAAGATGGGATTTGTGTCTTGCTGTATAAAAAAAGTTAAGTTTGCACGTCCCGCGTTACAACTGGCTATACAGTTGTGTTGAGAAACACAACCAGCAGCTTAGGAAGTTTTGCTTGTGCCAGGCCAGTGATACCACGGTGGCAGATGCAGCGTCTAATGGCGAGGGTTAGTCATGCTGTATGAGTAACGATTTTTAAAAGGTAAAACATTAATAACAAAAACACACAGCCTGAGAATCATGGATCGACTCACCATTTGCTCTTGGAGCTGTGAGGGCTGCGACTGCTTTCACCTTCAGTGCAGGCATCTTCTTTTGTGTGTGAATACCCTCACCTGATAAAGTACAGTATGCACATGTGATCAATAGTGCGGCATACATCCTAGTGTGTAAACTGTACAGACTTCAGTTTGCTTGACAAAGAATGGTAAAGTCAACATGGCATACCCTGTCTTGTCCATGTCACTGAATAACCAATGGAGGAAGGATACCAAAACCAGCAAATAGGGGAATGCATTTAAAACATGGATCAATGGGTCAAAAAGTATGATGCGGTCTCTGGACTGCAAAAAAAAATGAAAGGATCAGTATTTAAGCTTTGAGCCATCAGCAGAATTGATAAGACACACACACCCACACACACACACACACACACGCGACTTTACAAGCCTAAACACACTAACACACTTAAACACACTTATATATCCACATCCACACGGTGGTCTATCCCTGCACATACATGCACATACCTTGCTTCCTTTTATCAGGTGAAATTGGAGGTGTGTTTGGCACTGTTGAAAGCAGCGCTGCAGCCATGCACAACACAACCACGCACAACACAACACGGCCACACACAACATGACCACCCATAACACAACCGTCAACACAACACAGCCACAGAACAACACAACCAGACAACACAACACAACCACGCACAGCACAACTCAACACAACCACCAAACACAACACAACCCGACAACACAACACAACACAACACGACCACGCACAACAACAAAGAAAAATCTGTCTACCTTGAAGATAGAACCAGCTCAGAGGGAAGGGCGGCTTTGAGCATGCTTTGGCCTGAGTATATACGAAAAGTATCCGGATAGGTGAGAGAATCGGATAACCGAACACAGATACTTTATATGCATATGGCACATGAAATGGTGTGAATTCGGGCATACATGTATACGTGTCCCATGCAGTACTGTTAGTGTGTATGTGTTGCAAAAACAAGCATCAAAAATGACAAGTGCAGGCAACTGAGCACTGTGAGCATGCAGCCAGCATTTCAGGGAGTCATACAGCCGTTGGCTCAGGTTTCCATTTGTATAAATCCGGCCTTGTTCTGGCTTCCGCATCCTACGTGGAAACCGGATATGATTAAACGTTTTGTACATAATTGAACCCGTCTGTACTCAAAACCATGCATTGGTGTGCGGATTACGAGCTCCGCTTGTGTTGTGTGTGTCATGTATGCTGTAAATCGGTTACCAGTGGTTTTATTCTGGATGGCGAGGGATCCAGATAAAAGAGAACCGGATAAGCAAGGTCTGACTGCAACATGAAGTAATTAACTGCTCGAGGCATGTGGTGGCTATGAGACTTCTCCTCTCGCCCTACTGGTAGGAAGCATTTGCTGCTATGTAACCCATAATTAGACTGAAGGCCTTGATTGGCCAGAGTATTAGCTAGGGTTGAGTAGATCTGATGCAAAAGCAGATTCGCAAATCAAAGTGAGCCTTTGTAAAAGGAAATCATTCTTAGAACAACTTAGGATAGTTTTGTATACTTTGTTTGGGTGGGTTCTGCTCTTTCCATGCTGAGTAACCTTGATTGGTGATGTCTTCTAGCTGCTGACGTACTCTATAGCAACCACACACAGACATAAACAGACATGTAAACGTACATATGCACACACACAAACACAAACACACATGCACACAAACACACACACACACACACACTCTCTCTCTCTCTCTCACTCTCACACACGCACATACACGCACACACACACACAAACACAATGCAATGGGAGAACATTGTGATTTCAGAGGTAGGCTGCAGTAGTATTTGATTATAAACGGACCAAATCCCAAGACAGTATTCCCAGTCATTCTTTTATTTGGTCATGTTCTCAAACTATTCAGCCATATCCATCCACAAACCCCAGCATAGACACAGTATTGTACGTGTAGCTACACTAAGATGTATCTCATGTACTCCATCAGCGGATGCCTATGTACATACCATAGCACAATAGAGAAAAATACACCGATGCATAGCAAGCTTAAGCCACCCAGAGTCAATTCGATGTTTTAAGTCACCAACAGACAATCTTTTCTTACGTGGCCCAGAACTATTTCCGTCCCGTGAGTATATAAAGAGGGCAGAATCATCGCTCTATTGCCAAGCCACTCGACAAACGCCTAGGTGGAACCAGGTGGTGTGTACCCAAGTCACCTGGTCACCATGCCGGCAGGGTTATATTTACAGCCTGTTTGGGCACGTTGCTGACGCTCGAGTTGAACCGTTGAACCTTTCAGTTGAACCTTCGTGTGAAAGTTGTAGCCTGTAGGCACAGTGACCAGGTGACTAGGGTATGCATGAGCACATGACCGCTTAATCAACCATGTTCGATTAGAAATAAGGGCCAAACGCAGCACTGCAGCCTTCTCGGACCAAAGCCAGTCGACTCATCGTCCGAAAGACCACAACATACGGGCCAATCGCGTCCATCTGTGCTTTGATAAGAATGAAAGGGCGCTTTTAGTGACATTTTTCATACAAATCCCCATCTAGTAGGGCACAGTCACCCAGTTTCGGCGCAAGTGGCGAGTTCGATTGGGAGTAAAGGAGGGAGGGAGCGTTTCAGCTTCCTCGGACCAAGCACCCCGAAGACTACAATTGGTGGAAATTTGACTTTAGGCTTAGCTTCACCATAGAGCAAAGTTGTGTGCATGGCAGATTGAAAACATTAAACACAACCTTAGAAGAAAAGAGTACCCTCCTTTCCAACAGCATACCGGCAATCACCTCTCCTTGCACCATGTATCATGTATCATGATCACTACTTACTTTTGGCGCATTGTTTCAAGACCAGGTTGTCTCTGAAATTGCATGAGAAAAGAAGATGGCAACCAGAGTATGTTTGTTAGGCACAGTAAGGACACGATCACAAGCCTATCCACACAATATACAAAGTACAACAGTATATCATGCAGGTACAATTCCAGCTACGTCACAAGTGTCCTGGTCTTGGTACATTTCTCAATTGGGTTCAACCGGGTCACAGGCTCTATCACAGGCTCTGCTCTGGTCTAGCCGACCTGGTAGTGGGGCAGACCGTACAACTTTGTAGGTTGAAACACATTGGGCAGGTTGAAACACATTGGGCAGGTTGAAACACATTGGGCAGATTGAAACACATTGGGCAGGTTGAAACACATTGGGCAGATTGAAACACATTGGGCAGGTTGAAACACATTGGGCAGGTTGAAACACATTGGGCAGGTTGAAACACATTGGGCAGATTGAAACACATTGGGCAGATTGAAACACATTGGGCAGATTGAAACACATTGGGCAGATTGAAACACATTGGGCAGGTTGAAACACATTGGGCAGATTGAAACACATTGGGCAGGTTGAAACACATTGGGCAGGTTGAAACACATTGGGCAGATTGAAACACATTGGGCAGGTTGAAACACATGGGGCAGATTGAAACACATGGGGCAGGTTGAAACACATGGGGCAGGTTGAAACACATTGGGCAGATTGAAACACATTGGGCAGGTTGAAACACATTGGGCAGATTGAAACACATGGGGCAGGTTGAAACACATTGGGCAGATTGAAACACATTGGGCAGGTTGAAACACATGGGGCAGATTGAAACACATGGGGCAGGTTGAAACACATGGGGCAGGTTGAAACACATGAGGCAGGTTGAAACACATGAGGCAGGTTGAAACACATGGGGCAGGTTGAAACAAATTGGGCAGATTGAAACACATGGGGCAGGTTGAAACACATGAGGCAGGTTGAAACACATTGGACAGGTTGAAACACATGGGGCAGATTGAGACACGCGGAGCAGGTTGAAACACATTGGGCAGATTGAAACACGCGGGGCAGGTCACGGGGCAGGTTGAAATAAAAACGAGTAGGAAGTGGTACACAAGGACATGTACATGTAGATGACTGTAATATAGCTCAACTGAATACTTACCACACTTTGCACTTGTCTTGATCTTTCTAAATTTTCCATCCTTCCGCCAAAGTCCTCCTCACTCAAGCATGCAAAGCCCTAATGACAAAACGGCACACCAACAAGATTCATAGTTGCTAGTTTGGTCCGGAAGCGAGAGTGATGTGTGGTGATTCGTCCATGGTCTGGTTATTCTTGGTCTTGGTCGTTGTGTTCTGTACGTATTGGTGTTATTGGTCATCACGATTCATCTGCACTTTTATTACTGCATGGTATTCGTTGTTCCTTGGTCTTTTTCTTCAGTTTTCTTTGATAGTCGTTTCAGTCATTGCTTTCCTCCTCCTGCGCGCTCTCCATTTGTTGTTGTGAAGAGAAGTCTACTACAAGTAACAGATGGTTGAGTTGTTATGTGGCGGGGGAGAAGGTAAGACTTATTCCGTTACAGAAAGACAATATGCTCAAGGATCTGTCAGATGCCCTGAGAGAAAATGGCATCACTGCTGTGGAGTCAACAGACATTGCTAAGGGAGGGGTAGAGGTCGGGGTTCACGATGCTAATTATGCTCAGATTGAACTACAAGAGGAATTTGACACAGAGCCATGCGTAATCCAGCATGCCTCTCATGGTTCTATAAGTAGAAACTGGCTAGTCAAATGAAGATCATTGACTCCACAGCAGTGATGCCATTTTCTCCGTAGCATACACAACTAGCAGGCATAGCATATGAGCCTGCATCACTGCCAATGGCATTGATCAAGTAAAGGCTGTGAACCACTTTACCAGTTGAGCTGAAACAGACTCAGTCACTCAGAAAATATATCTGTATTTTTTCAAGGGTCCATCTCACATAAGCCCCAATCACGATGTATCTTGACAATCACGGCGTATAAGCTGCTCTGCTCTCTTGGAGGCAAAGCGTGACAGGACTTTTATGTACTACAACACATGTTTGCAGCACCAACAAAGTTGCAGGAGGATTTACGACCCTCTCAGGGGAAAGCAAGGTGCGGCTTACAACCTGGAAATGCAGCAAGCCATGAACCAGGCTTCAGAATAGAAAGAAAAAACACATCAGCACTCTTCTACGTACAAGGGCCTGGAAGATATGCCAGGCACAGAAAGGTAAAGCAGACTGCTTGCAAGTACTTACGCTCTTCAGGCCAGCACGCTGCATCTCCACTCTTATGGTTTCCTGAACTTCAGCCCTGGTTTGCTCAATGACAGCTGGTGCATGGTTGTACCGCGCTATCAGGACAAGACAAGAATGCAATCACAAGATGTCAGTTTATTGTACATGGTGTAGTTAGGAAACTGACCTACCTGGCATAAAACAAGACATGTAGTTGGTAAGGAAATCAATTCAAATCATCTAGTACTGTACATTACAAAATATGTCTCTCCTTCCCAGTCTCTTACTGGAAGGCAGAATGCTGTCTGTTTACACGTTTCGCCTAAGGAACATTGCAACAAATACACTGTTGACCTCCATCCATGAACAAAGCAGCATCAACTTCTCTGACATCACCATCGGTACTCAAACGAGTCCAGGTTTTGTCAAAATTATTCTCTATTATAGGAAATCCACAGTGGTATATGCCTAGTTTTCAGCTCTAGCAATGCCGTCATGCAAGCAAGATGTGTCTCAGATTCCACTCAAAGAGAGCGAGGAAACACTGATGATGTAGACATGCATCCAAAGAATGCACACAATTTCCCCACTTCCAAAAGGAATTGCTGGAAGTCTAGACTGACTATTAATGAAATTTTCGGAAAGAGCTGGTTGCTGGTGTACTGAATGGAATGGCCATGGTTCAAAAGCGCTGAGACCAAACCCCAGTGCACACTAAATTCAGCCAACAGCATTCAAATTGCATGTGAGGATGGCTGGCCGCATGTTGTGGTGTGTCTCTTTCTGCTATTTCATAAGACCGCCCGATAACAACACTTGGTACTATGACCGCTGGCCACCCTGGCTTCACTGCAGATATTAGGAATCAATGAGTGCAAGTTGCTTACTGGTGATCGCTTGGTTACTGGGTAGATGGTACGTAGCAGACTGTTGCTGTGCTGGGGTGTCAAAGCTTTCAGATTTCCGCTTGCTGCAGAGAGCATAGTACAGAGGCAGCTAACCATAGTGGTACATACACCACACAGACAGTAGGAGCACACCCTTAGTCGGAAGAGGTCTATGCTATGCTGATTTTGTATGTTACAAGATTTGTGTGTACATTCGTACTGGTATACTGTAAATATACACATTTTCGGCAGCTATTTAATTTCGGCTATATTCGGCACCGACCCAAAACGCCTAGATTAAAATGCCGATGACATTTTTCACAGCATCTGTTGCACTATACCATGCCCTCTACCCCACGCCGAAAATAAATCGCCGCCGAAATGTCACAAATCGTGAAGTGCTGAAATTTTGCAGCGCAGAAATTTCGTATATTTACAGTAGCAGGGCCGTAGCACCGGGATAGGAGGTGATCCGGCCGAATAGGATACTTAACAGGAAACAATGGGCGCGGTTGATTACACACATTCCGGTCAATCCTAGAATTAGTTGTTGTGGATGCACCGTTTGATAACTGTAGAACGGGTAATTTTAGCGACCATTAATTTTAGCGTTTTCCCATTGTCAACCGGTTAGCGACGTTTATTTTAGCGATTTGCAGCGATTTTACTCACAGAACCAGTGCACTGCTAATGTCTCAACGGGTTAGCGACTTGAAACTTGAGTCGATCGCTAAATTTGCTAGGGTTTTTACGTCGCTAAAATTACCCGTTCGACAGTACACAAAATCCGCTGTCATAATCGACGGAATTGGATTCCCTGTCAATTCTGAATTCTGAAAAGAGGGCGGAATTACTAATTCTAACCCCAGAATTGATGCAGTCGACGTAAACGCCATGCTAGGTCCACATGTGCGCAAGGGTGCACGGGATCCTATGTGATCCCCTTTTACGATTTTTACATGTAGTCATTCGTTTACATGGCCGCAATCCGTTTATTCTGCTCATTCACGAATTATAAAACCTAGGCCCAAATGTGTAATCAAAAGTGCCCAATGAAAGCTTGGCCCGTTTTGCATGAATCGGATGGTTCAGCTTTCAACAAAGAAAGTTGGCTCTGACCGAACCAGACAGACCGAGTGCTATGGCCCTGTACAGAAGTTAACATGTAATTATACTATTTGTCTGAGTAGGACAGATTTACACCGGGAAACAAATAATGGGCCACTGTTCCATTTGAAACTGGATGGGATTCTGCTGCTTCAAAATGGTTTTGCATAGGAGATAGATAATGAGTTTGATGTTTTCAAGAGCACGACACTACATACACCGGGGCAGGTAAACGCATACTACTACATGCACTGTTGTAGACGCATACTACTACTACTATTACATACACTGTGCCGCTAGATGAAGTCCTTCTCTCAGACCGCGTTGTCTCAGGATCTTCACGTGCTGACGCATTCGGAGCAGCAATAGCAGGTGCCTGGCGATGCGACACTCCTTCTGATCTTGTTCTGGAGACCACCTGGTGCTGTTGGTCTTGGCTGCTCCCAGCAACATAGTCATCATCCGAGTCACTGAGCTCTAAACACAGTCACACAGACACAGTGATTGTGCGCGGTGCATTGGCTAATTGACTCACGCAATTCCTCACTGTCATTCACTGTGAGTTCCACCCAGCAAACTAAACTGGAAAGGTAACAGCCCCACGCAATCTAATTTGAAGTTTAATGCAGCATATCTGCAACAGAACAACAGCACTACTTCCGGCTGAATAATCTATAGCAGACCCAGTAAAGCTTGAGCGATATTGCACCACCAAATAGTGAAAATATCCTATGTGCATTATCACTACACAAAACTGAGATTTCTTCCTCTGTCAACCCAGTTCCCGGTAGGATGAGCTTCCTAATCTAGAACTAGTAGAACAAGGTTTCAGCTGCTGATCAGTCCACCATACTGCTACAACTACCGACTACTTTTACATCCGATCGGCAGCCTTAGCAAGCACATACAATAGCACACAGCTCTGTAGTCTGTCTCTATGCTGTATCCTCTTGTCTCTCTCTCTCCTCCTGCCTGTCTGTCTGTCTGTCTGTCTGTCTGTCTGTCTGTCTGTCTGTCTGTCTGTCTGTCTGTCTGTCTGTCTGTCTGTCTCTTTGTCCGCCTGTCAATTCTTTGAGAGCAGTCGAGTGCTCCAGCTGTACTGTGCATGCTTTACTCACATGTATACAGTATAGCAATCATGATCTGATAGGACCGATACACCGATACAATGTGCATTCCCCCGCCATCACTGGCCACAGACTTATATACCTGTAGAGTCGTCCACTCCTTGTTGATCACGTGGTATTACATCTCGTGTATGAGCCACTGGCACCTGTTGCTTGTGCGGTTGAGTGTGTGCCTCTGCTTGTCCGGTAACTCTGCTGCCTTCAGGGGGCAGTGCACTCTGCTGCGGCGTTCTTTCTACGGCCTTTCTTCTTTCTTCTACACGGCCAGTGTTTGTGGTTGACACCGTCTGTGCTTCATAGTCTAGCCGGGATGATGCTTGCCTACGTTGCCGTTCTTGGCTCTGCTGCTGTGCCTGGATACAATGTATGTACCATAATGTGCAATAGCACCAGTGCACAGGATAACCATTTTGTGGGAAAACTTGATAATGACTTTCCTTCAGATGCAATCATGGAACACAAGTACCCATGGAGGGCTTCCAACACATTCATATATAAAACACTGCCGGGTTGAAATACATGCAGGAACAGTGTTTTGGAAGGATCACGGGTCACCATAACTATGTGGTACATGCAGCTTACCTCCACTTCTCTGTGATTCTGTTCTTGTTGACTTAGTAGCATCTGGAAGCATAAGAACGAATCCACCGTCGAGATATTCTAACCATCCGAATGCCAATAGTCTGACGGACAGCACATGAATCCTCAAATCATGGCTTGGAAAGACAACCCGATCGGGCTTGGTCCACTATGATCCATTCGGCAATAGGGCTTGGTCCACTATGATCCATTCGGCAATAATTGTACATCTTCATGCCTCATATGAACCCCCAAACCAGTGCTTGAAGGGAACTGTGGCAAGGGAATGGAAGGGATGCCTGCAAGAAAAGTCTGCAAACTCCATCGCTATGAAAAGAAGTATGCAGCATCCATAGGTAGAGTAAGTATGTACCCGCGTAGTGGGTGGAATGTTGTGCAGGTACAGTCGTGGCCAAAGAAATCCGACCCGCGAGTCAAAAAGTAGTGTCGCATTTCCATTTCCATTGCATCATGCACGGTTCGAAAATACATCCGAGAGCCACATAGGTCGCATGAGCCTTGGCGCTGTGTTCGGCTCACGGGTCGGATTTCTTTGGCCACAACTGACTGTACATAGCGTAGGTATGTGTGGTGATAGCCATGTAACAAATGTGCGGTAGATGTTGAGCAAGAACTACTTTGAAGGAGGTGATGATAATTTGACAAAAGTCTGGATGACTGTCTGGCAGCCACGTTGGCAGTCTGCTAGAACTAACCTGCTGCATTTTAGAGCGATACGTATCCTCAACATCATTCAGCCTTGATCTCCACTCGTCTTTTTGGCTTTCCTGCTGCTGCTCCATCTTGGACATCTTAAAATAATAGAAACAGATATAAACACAAAAAGCAATTTACAAGCTTCATACACCTGGAGGATCAAGAACTGCATTATCTCATCTACGTGTAGGTAATACCCCATAGCCCCAGCATTATGCAAAGCTATACTCCAGCCACACGCTCTCTTCTATTAACACTGCAATAATTCAACTCATTTCACAATATTACGTTTCGGCAAATTGCCTTCATCAGGTTCACGAAGCTTCCCCACTTTTACTATATTCCAGCATTTACTGCAATAGATCTCTTGCCGAAAAGAAGATGAATGTGTTATCTACAAAACTTGGAAAAAGGCTAACCTGCTCTTTCATAATGGCTTTCAGCTCAAGTATCTGTCCGGCCTGTTTCTCACGCTCCTGCTTCACTTCGAGAAGCTCTCTTTCCTTCTCCAAGATGTGAGATCTCCTTTCGTGACGATGAGCCCGGCCAGCTGATTCATCGCTATCTGAGTTTGCATCCTTGGCAAGAAACACCCATAATAGAACACAATTCAGCTATAGTCACGGTACTTGTGGCAATAGTACACAGGGTTCTAGGCAGTAAAAAATAAAGGGGGGGGGGGGAGGTTGAGGGAGTGGGGCAGGGGAAACAAGCAGTTCATCCATTTTTGTTGGAGAATGGGGCAGGGGAAACAAACAATTCATCAATTTTTTCCAAGTCCCAATATTGGCTTGTCACACAGAATGCAACATATGGGTGCAGTGAGCACCCGGAACGATCTATTTGTGCAATTTTCGTTGTGTAAACCCAAAAACAGTAGGGGGAGGGGGGGATCAGTGTAGGAAGGGGGGGGGGGGGGTGCACCCCCACCCCCCCCCCCCCTTAGTACATGAGATCATAGAGATTTTACAGAGTACTCCATGCCTTTGATATCCATACGCATACGGTTTTCCAGTCATGTGACAGCAGGAGTGTCAATATCCTAGCGTGATTGCTAAATTGGTGAAGGCCGGGGGGGGGGGGGGATATCTCAGATTGGTGCACGCTCGAGGGAACGACTCAGTCACTAATGGAATTTCTGCAAGGACACAGCATACCTTATTGTAAATACACGCATAGCCTTACAGAGTATGCATTCACCACCTAATGGCACTCCACACTCCGCTCATGCACAGTGCAGCTTTCAGTGCATAGCGTATTTTTTTAGGAATCTTAAATATTACTAGTAGTGCTTTCAAATACGATAGGGCTTGAAAGTGATGTCATCAAAAGGAAAAAAATAGATAACAACTGGGTTATAGGATCGATCAACTCTAAGCATAGTGAGGTATTGTGTCTGTTGGGTTGGCCCTCATGTTGGACGCTTGTGTGACCTTTTCGGTAACACCAGTGGGTCACCAGGCGGGAAGCCCAATCCTGTCGCTATCGCCGGGTGTGTCACCTGTGCTGATGATGCGAAGGAAACCACCCAAAACGTGTATGGATCTACACAAGATATGGATCCCAGTGAAGCTGTCAGCATTGGCAGGGCTCTGGCCTGGCTGCAAAATAGTACTTTTCAAGCCCTATTGTCTACTTGTCACATACAGATCAGTAGAACACCAACCTCAATGTCACCGAGGTTTGTTGATCTTGATCGGGATGATCTTGACTTGCGTATAGCGTCTTCCTGGGCCTTCTGTGTTGCCATGAGCTGTTCAATCTGAAGTTGTAGTGGCTGAACAACTGCTTGCAGATTAGCCTAAAGAGCATGGAACACATTGCAAAAATGCAGAAGTTTGCACACAGCACAAAGTACTCAGTAGTATATGTGAGTAGACTTACTATTTGCACAACTCAAGTGTGCGTTGACAAGCTTGGGAAAGGAGAAATTCAACTTTGTTGGTTCGTGTTGCATCGCCGCTCTTGTGGACACTGCTCCCAGACTTGTGAAAGCATTGCCAGGAGTTGTGCAATATCACACCGGCAGGACCGATACACAGTAGCTGATACAGGAGCTGTGAACCATACCAACCCCGCACAGGCAACCCGTAGACATTACTTCGAAGTATCTGCGCACACAATTTACATCCCATGTGGTAACTTTTCAAATTCAATGCTCGCAACTCGGAATGTGTCCTAAGCAACAAACACCACTTAGCTAGACAACAAAGTAACAGGAAACGGCACCTGTTGCTCCAAACTCTTTGAAGAATTCACAGTTCTCATGTTCTTTACTGGCTAATGCTTCTCTATGATGTAGCCTGAATCCAGCACCATTCTGCTAACAGTACTCTGAAACTGGCAAACAACCGGATTAAAATACACACCTCGTGTCTTTGTTTCTCTTGCCTCGTCGCTTCTTGTAGTGCTTGTTGATGTTCTTTATTCAGATCAGCTTCCTGTACAGAATACACGTACCCACAAGCAAGAAAACTATTCTTAGCCATGAATTATATCTAAAAAATTAATCCCATTGCTCAGCACTCACCACAATTGCGCAAGCCGAGGACAAGGCAGGTTGGGGACGACACTCGTATGAGGAACACGACGAGGCGAGAGAGAGAGAGAGAGAGAGAGAGAGAGAGAGAGACGAACGACAAGGGAGAGTAAGAGAGAAGGAGGGAGGGAGGGAGGGAGAGAGAGAGCTAGACAAAGGGAAGTTATGGCAAATGTGGGCGTATAAGCAGCTACCCAGGCCAACGGAACATAATGTGCCATACTGGAACACGGGAAGCTATGTGTACGGGGTGCAGGCCAGCAGGGGGAAAGGATGTTCGAGGAAACAATATGTGGAAGATGTGGACCCGACAGACAGATGAAGAAGCTGAGGTAACATATGGTTGGTGCGAGCATGTGTATCGAAGCAGTCAGCCAACTCACCCGCTCTTCAAAGTTCCGACGCATCCTTTCCTCATTGTCCTGGAGGCGTTTCGTGAGATTCTGAACCGAATCCTGAAGACTCGATACTTGCCTAGCAGCTTCTTCTTGCTTCAACTTGTCGTCTACTGAGGCTGTGCTGTGAATAGTGTGGGTACAGAGAATATGTAGTTGGTGAGGAGTTCGGATACAGGCAGTGGCCAAGGTAATAGACTAATTCTACCGTAGTATTGCCATACCTGGACTGGCGATGCGTTTCTCCTGGATGGGGTGCAGCCATGGCAACAGTCGATTTGGGTATAGCAGCTGAAGCAGCAAAGCGAGGATGGCGGCGCTCCATATGACCGTGAAGCAGCGGCTCATTAACGAACTGTTTGGGACAATAAGGACACTGTAGTCGACAACATCACACACGAGCACAGAGATGTGTGTGAGTTGGATGTTGAATTTCACAGAAAACAAGACACACTTCAATCAAGGTCGCTAGTATCTGTATTACCTGCTGGATGTCGTTGTCGGTTTTTAGAAGTGATTGGAGCATAATGATGTTCTCCTTTCTGTTCTTCATCTCCTTCTTGTAGGACTGCAGCTTCTTCTGAGTTTTCTGCAGGAGAGCACTTGTGCTGGCTTCTCTCTGAAACATAATAGGAACATGATAAGAAGAAGCGTCATATTTCCGCAACGAGTATAGCCTGCTATCAGACAACATTTCAAGCAAGTATTTCTGCAGAGAGTAAAGCCTGTCACTCAACAGAAAGCAAGCGTAGCAAGATCCTAGATTACAGGCTTCTATTTCTATTTTTAATGAACTCTAAGATCTGATAAGACTTTTGAAATATGGTTGTAGTGGGTACCTGTCCTCACTTACTATGCAGTATATATATGTAGGACTCAGTATAGAGTCCATGCACTATATGATGTCCAGCACCCTATATAGAGTCCATTGGTCCAAAATCCACTATACAGAGTCCAGGAGTCCACTCAGTTTTGATCAGCTTCAACCTGCCGCGCAATCCCCTATAAGGAGTACACTTTTTCTACCAGTCCCCTATTCACAGTCCAGGAGTCCAGTTTATCCAGTCACGCCGTCCTGTGTGTTGTGCCCGAAAAAGAACAAACACCTTTTCAGTTTTGCTTGCCTCGTGGCAGCGCATTCCTTTCTTCGCTTCAGCCATGGCTGCCGGTTCTGCTGTGAAGTTGCTGACAGTAATCTGTCACGAGGTAACCAAGGAGGATAAGGAGACGTTCAAAATCAAATCTGGAAAGCGTCTTGTGGTTCTCTGAAGACGTCTCATCAGTGTGCGGGGTGAAAGCAGAAATTGCAGAACGAGAAAAGTTCAGCACAGTTCAAATCTGACGAGTCAGGTACACTGACACTCTCTTTCGTTCGACGCCACAAGGATCCCCTGTTTGGCTGGCCATTGCTGCCAGTAAGACGTTTGAACGGTTTCATCAGAGCGAGGGATGAAAGCAGAAACCGGAGAAAGAGAAAAGTTCAGCACAGTTCCAATCTGACGAGTCAGATAGTACACTGACACTCTCTTTCGTTCGACGCCACAAGGATACCCCTGTTTGACTGGACAAGAGCTGCCTGTCCCACCGTGTCAAAAGGCTGTCCAACTACATGGCAGGACGATGACTGAGGTAAGGATGCTTTTACTCGTTTCGATTGGTCTGCTGTTCTGTCGTTATGCTTGAATTTTTTTCCATTTTCAAGGAGCGTATCGCGTTTGTTTGATGTTGCTTGAATGAATGCCCTAAAAGTAATCAACCTCTTCGTAATAGTCCTCAAGGACTGCAAGGACTTTGCATCAATCGTATACGATCGTCTAGCTATCATCAATTATTATAATTATTTCATGAGAAATGTATTTTTATCCCTGTGATAATTATGTGAAACTCCACGACACTCTTCCTCTAGTATGATGTCAAAATACAATGGGATCCACAAACGCAGTGCCAGTGTACTAGTAGTAGTAGGAGGATTGCTTGTATGCCAATGACAAGAAAAAGCTTCTCAAGCTAATACTCGTATTCCCTGAAGTAACCGTTTTGATGTCACGAACATGACATTGTGTCAGTGAAACTGCCTCGTGACAACAAATCATTGTATTTCCATCTTGGGGAAGACTGACTGACGGCAACGCTGTACAGATTGTTCAAATCATCTCATTTCAATTTAGTTGCAGTGAAGTGAAACACTGTGTACACTACATGTATGGTGATGTGTCTGTGCGTCTTGAGTGTGCACAAACGATCTTATTCCTTGTATTACTAATAGATTATTGTCCCCACCGTCACCTGTTCACAGGTCTTTGAGTGGATTGATTTTCATTGAGCATCACATTTGTTGAGAACTTGGTAGTTGTGTGCTCCCATGCATCATTACGGTAATAAGCGTATCCTTGTGCTATCTATTTGTTGCAGGTGTGCTGATCTTCAGAAGCTTGCGGAACTGAGTGCTGCTGAACATTTGCATGGCCATGAGCAATGGTGAAGCTTGCTATTGCACTCTCAGCATGTGCTAGTATTATGCTGACTACTGCACTATGTTACTCTCTTACACTACTACATGTATGTAAACGTGCGTGTACCCGTCCCTGTATGCATTAGTTTCGTATAATTATTTGTTATCCCTCTTGACTTTACTTGTAAATGGGTGGACGTTTGCATGGCTGTTGGAGTTGCGTGTGCATTGTGTCTCTACTCTTTTCTTAGTGTTTTCTTGGCGTTGTATAAGTTTGTGTGTGTGTGTGTGTGTGTGTGCGCGCGCAATAATTTGAAAACAAATAATTAATCCTGGGCTCTCCATTATTCTCTTTCGATTCTTGTTTTTTTCTAGGTATTTTCTTGGCGTTGTGTGGGTGTGTGCATGTGTGTGTGTGCGTGCACAATTATTTGGCAACACTACATGATTGAGATATTGTAATTTGCAGCGTCTGCGAAGAGACCACTTGATTTGAGGCTGGTGTTTGTAGGCTTTTTCATGTAATGAAGTGACTGCAGTGGCGCCTCAATACATATTTTTTACCTTGAGAAGTGAATGATGTAAATGATTAAAGGGAGAGGCCGTTTTCTGGTTAATATTCACTGCTTACAGCAGATCCTATGTCTAATTTCGAACTCGATAGGGGATGCCTAATTGGCTGGACTTTATACAGGGAGTGTTGTCCACATAAGACTCTTTAATCTTTATAGTTGATTTCAAAGTTTGGACTCCGTAGAGTTGATTTTGGACCAATGGACTCTATATAGGGGTGAAGCCAATTGGCTGGACTCTATACAGGGAGTGATGTCCATCTAAACTTTGAGCTCACAGTTGATTCCAAGTTTGGACTCAGTACAGTGGATTTTGGACCAATGGACTCTATATAGGGGTTGGACATCATATAGGGGCTGGACGCTCTACTGAGTCCAACATATATACAGCTACGATTCCAATGACCTCCAAATTGAACTGTCCACAATGCACCTGATATGGTGTCCGCAGGTCAACATGTACGTTCACCAAGGGTACAGAGTAGCGGCGCCTCTTTTAAAACTACCAATTTACTGGAACTAGTAAAACATGTTACTATAACGAGTCACAAATTTAACAATTATCTAAAATACATAGGTTAACGAGAAGATACGGTAACGATCTTGCAGTCTTCAGGCTTTTCCGCACATAACACATGTGAGACCCTACAGCGTCAACAGAACTTATTATAACGAAGAAATGCCACTAGTTAAAAGTTTTTAAATAACCGACGAGGAGACAACAGTCGTAAAATAGCAATGAAAAATATCAATTGTGCACTCATAACCATGTATAAACAATTAAAATGAAACAATTCCAGAACGTTTTCGTGTGACCATCATCAGTGGAATATCGTCACATAGTAAGAATCACTAAAACAACCAGTTATATAGCTAGAGTAATTTGAAAAGAAGCGTGAGAATGCAGCACAGCTAGCGGTTATGACGATTCCTGGTTTAGTGTTATTTGTTGCGCACGTTTCTTTAAGCAGTTGCAGGTGTTGGAAGCTGTATATATTCGCACACGTGACCCTGTTCTATGCAAGCAAAAAGAAAATGTTGTAGCACTCACACTTTTTAAATAATACGCACTCACCAGTTTTTGTCCACACGCACTCACAGCTGCCACATTCATCTACTGCTACCATTCTCAGATACACTGCAAAGGTTCACACTACACGCGTTATGCATAACCGCTAGCTGTGCTGCATTCTCACGCTTCTTTTCATATTACTCTAGCTATATAACTGGTTGTTTTAGTGATTCTTACTATGTGACGATGTTCCACTGATGATGGTCACACGAAAACGTTCTGGAATTGTTTCATTTTAATTGTTTATACATGGTTATGAGTGCACAATTGATATTTTTCATTGCTATTTAAAAAGTTAGATTTACTTCCTCGGTATATTTACACATCTTACAGTAAAGCAATGGTTGGTTGGTTTTTATTATACTTTGCACATTAAAACGGGATGATGACCACTCAATAAAATGTTGGCGAATGCTTGGCCTAGAAGTGGATTACTAACCTTCGTTGCAGCACTCCACTTTTCGCGTTGTAGGCTTGAATCCTCCTTCAGCTCCTTCTGGGCATACTGCACGTCCATTCAGGTACAAAGAGGACAACACCCACAGCACTCAAATGACAAATGATACAGGAAGGAGACAATATACAATTCAATCAACAATTGCCTCATAGATGAGCAGGCCGCGGTACTTAAAAACGGCCTCAATGCGAGGAGTACTGTTTTGACTGCAGATGAACTGCAAGGCTTATGTTGTAAATACTAGGGCTGAAACGATTGTACCGAATAATCGAGTACTCGTTTGATAACTCTAACGATCGAGCAATCGTTTAGATTACTGATTACGATTATTTTGCGTTTTTTTAATTTTTAATTTCTTACGCGCAGTGCATGCAGCGCAGAGTAGAATTATAGTACACGGTACTACACATTGCACGCGCTGCATCGCAGCCGCTCAGGACGTAGTATGCGCAGTGCATGCAGCACGAGTTCAAACATCGAGTACAATCCTACATGTAGTGTAGTACAACGAAGCTGGAGCATGAAGCTCGAAGGCCAAGGTCGCGTCCGGTCTACATACATAACGGCACACGTACAGTTCACACTTCACGCGAGGAATTTTACTGGTTGGATCTACGCGGAGTAAAAGTAAAATAGTTGGCTAGTTGTTGTCTGTAACGCTGCCCATTAGTGGGCAATCATGCCACATAGCATTTTTGTGCAAAATTTTGTACATATTTCCACTTTTGGCCATTCCACGTACATATTCCAGGTGCGGCCTCTTAAAGATTATAATCGAATAATCGATCGTTACGATAAAGAGTAATCGATTGGGCTAAATGGATGGTCGTTTCAGCCCTAGTAAATACTGATGTGCAGCCTGTATGAATACAGAGTCTGGGATAAAAGCAGTCTGGAGTACATAACACAATGGCACATCCAGGTAGGACAACATCCACTGCCAACCATCAATTGTTACCACTTCTACTTAGCAGTGACACTACATTGGCTCAAACCAAACAATACGAATCGTACTGCGCATTCAGTACCAAAGTGTTAGTGACATCACTCACCAGTAAACACTCCACCATCAACTGTAACAGCTTCACCACCTTCATAAAGTTCCTGTCCAGCGATGGAGATTGCTGGAAAGTGGAAGAAAGCATACCATGTGCATCCATATCATAACAAAATCGCAAATTGAGCAGCGCACCACAGCCGTGCACTTCAATGTGTGGCATAAGCATCTACATGTACAAGGAAAAGACAGACAAACATGCAAGAGCAGGGGATTATAGCTTAAAGGGGAAGTATAGGCAAACGTCAAATTTTCACCAGTTTTAGCCTTCAGGGCGCTGAGTCGAATGGTCTTGGTCCGAGGAAACGCTCCCTTCCTCCTTTACTATGATTCCCAATCGAACTCGCCACTTCCACCAAAACTGCGTGACTGCGCCCTACCCCGAACCCGTGACTGCAGCAGCTGCAGTGAAAATATATTTGAGGTTATACTTTTAAGCCATGCTCATGCGCTCCACTCACATGCATGCAAACTGAGTATAGTACTAACCACACTATCCATGTACTGTATTCTACAAAAAGCTGTTAAAGCCGTTCTTACCTCCAGTTCTACCTCTGTTCTTACCTCCAGTTCTACCTCTGTTCTTACCTCCAGTTCCACATTGCAGAATGTCAGGTTGACAAGATTGCCTTCTAGCGCTTTGAAATCTCTTCCCATTATCACCGAGTTCACGTCTATGGAAGCTGATGTCAAACCGAGAGTACATGCATAGGAATACAAGTAGGTTTTTAGTGCCTGTGCAATTATCTACAACCACAAAGCAATGGAGCCCCAGCCAGTTGAGTTGAGTCCAGTTCAGTCAGCACCAGTGGGCGTGCTACCTTACGGCACAGGAAACCACCCAAATACGTTTGAGTACATACAAACACTGGATCCAAGCGGATCCAAAAGTCAGCGTTGTTATGACTCCCGCCTAGCTGTGACGTAGCACTGTTAAGCCCTGGTAATCCTGACACATTATGGTGCTCTGTGGCAGCATGTTCCTTCAGAGTGTACACCAGTTCTGAGATATTTTCACACAATTGTACCAGCAAGGTGTGTGCAAGACCGGCACCCATTTGACATAGAATATAATTGTTGCATGGTAGAATGGCATCGGCATGTGACAGTAAGTACTTTACCAATTTTTCTCCAGTCCAATCTATTCACCCTTGGTCGAAATGAGAACTGAGCACCTGCACAAAAGTAGAAATGCAGATTCACATCAGTCAAGCTCACACTTCACATCACAATCAGATTCATACGCTACATACATACAAGTACAGTGATAGACAGTAAGTTTTAATCTCACAATTAAGAAAAAGAACGAATAAGATATTGCTATGCATCCTTCAGAGTCTCCAACTCTGGCGGTTATTAGCAGCTTTATCCTATCAATATTAGAGCAGGCTGCGCTATATCAAAGGGTCTCCAGATCATGGCCATGCTGCCGCCAACTACCGTAATGTCGCGTAGAAAAGCAGGTGACGGTTAACGGCCGTGTAAGCCGGGGTTCAAACCATGCTTCTATTCAAGTTATGCTTCTATTCAAAACATGTGTCTACGTCACGTCAACATCAGCAGTGTACATGGTGCATGCAGTGCATGCCGCCATGCATGTACTGTGCAAGTACTTGCGCGTGTATTTGCAGAGAGCAGTGTATCTTCTGTGTCATGGCGCGCTGCGAAAACGGCTTCTATACGAGTCATGCTTTTGTACGCGACACTACATTAAGTCCCCAGATGCACGCAGCTTGCACACACAACACCAGCGTCAGGAGCACCAGGCCTTCTAGCTCCAGTGGACAGCATTTGATTGCCTGCAACAACCCGTCCTCTTATTACTTACCGGCATCACACCCAGTAATACCCTGGAACACTCTATCTGCCATCTTGCTATAACAAGAATCCCACCTCATCTGTATCAGTGTATGCACCACCAGCACACCTACAGGTAGCTCTGGTCTACACAGTACCTGTAACTGAACCCAGCTGGTCAGTTGCTGTGCATACATGTGCATGTACCAGTACTGTATATCCACTGTGGGCAGCTACTCTACTATTTCCAGCAGTTTATCACAACTTGTCATTGTCACAAGACATTAGAGAGGTTCTGCAAAACGAAAATGTGTACGAACTTTCGCTCTATGTCACGAAGTGAGAAACTTCGCACGAACGTTCGCAACTTTGGACTCGAAACTTGCATGGAACGCGAAATGAACTTTCGTAGGTGGTTTCGTGAGATCGGGTCATGGCGTACGTGCCCTTGGCGCGTGCAAACTACGAAAATGTGCAGAACACAAAGTTCGTGCAAAACTTTGTACACATTTTCACAAGGCCTGTCGCGAAACTTCCTTCGAATTTTCGTTGTGCAGAACCTCTCTAATATGTCCCGATTATGTGCCACTAGCACTAAGTCTTATTCTTAATCATATGGTGCAATCATCTGTGCGGTACATCACCTCCCCCTCCCACACTATCCTCATTGTTCACTCTCCCTTTTTTTCTCCCCGTAGATGCGTTTGTGTGGCTAACACCAGGCCATGCAGTGGTCAGATGAGCCCTACAAACCCTAGCTGCACTAGTGACCTTTTTTTTAAAAAGGGTTAAGGATTCGCCAAAAGGCATTGTTACCCTGCACCCCACAGTTCCTGTTTTGGGTGTACTCTGTCCAAAGTGAATATTTACTCATGCTGATAACCCAGACTTCGTGCTTCTATTTCGTTGTACAGTCAACTTCGCTTATAACGACATTCGGCGCGGCATCAAAAAAGTGTCCTTATTCGCGAAGTGTCGTTATACCCAAAGTCTCGTTATATGTATTACAGTTGGAAGGGACTTCGCTCTGGGCATGGAAATGCTGTCATTATTCGCGAATTGTCGTTATATCCGCAGTCGTTATTAGCGAAGTTGACTGCACAATTTTTCCTCCGAATGTACATGTACATGTGCGTACATGTAGATCTACACCATACACAAGCTATTGTGCTATATACACGTACACCTCTCGCATATGATTCTGGAAGTTGAAACGATGTGAAACATAGAATCAAAGAATGTTAATAGAAAAGAAAAAGGACCAAGGAATTACAAGTTACGTTATAATATCCACTAACACTACCAGTTACTGAACAATCAGCTCATGCGATAACATTGCACAACACTGACCGACGGTACTGACAATCTACAACTACAGTCAACTTCGCTAATAACGACCGCGGATATAACGACAATTCGCGAATAACGTCAGAATTTCCATGCCCAGAGCAAAGTCCAATCCAACTGTAATACATATGAGACTTCGGGTATAACGACAATTCGCGAATAAGGACACTTGTTTGATGCCCCGCCGAGTGTCGTTATAAGCGAAGTTGACTGTAACTGGCTAAGAGATGTGCTAGAGCTGTTAGCCAGTTAGTTGTAGAACGTCAGTACCGTCGGTCAGTGCCATGCAATGTTATCGCATGAGCTGATTCAGACTGTTTAGTAACTGGTGGTGTTAGTGGACATTATAGCGTAACTTGTAGTTCCTTGGTCTTTTTCTTTTCTATAAATTTATCCTTGGCTCTCCATCCGAGTCCAATCAAAGAATGGTGGCCTAATAGTTACAGAAAGGGTCTTGCAGTCTCCATGGTCCCAATAATTCTGTTGTTTATAGGATATGAGTGAGGACTACATTTGCAAAAGGATGAGTGAGATTATGTACCGTAGTACAATCATGTACTTGTTGGTTTGACAGCATGAAAAAAGGGGGAGGAAATAGTGACCTTTCTCCAACCATCCATGGTTGGTAGAGCCCAGTCCGTTGGGACCATTTGAGCCGTATGGGTCAGATGGTAGATGGTTGTAGAAAGGTCACTATTTCCGAACACGGTGTCCTCCACCTTGTTTCATGCTGTCAAACCTACAATATAATTATGTGAACTGAAACAAGGTTTATGTTATCATGTACTTGTACGTGAATTCACGCAGGACCACCTCCGTCTTCAGTTTACGCACCTTGAGCGTCGTGTAGGCTGCGGTCCCATTCAGAAGGGCTGTCGTCACTTAGCCCATCGCTTCTCTCCGTTCTCTGCGTAGTTCTATGTTCAGCGGGGTACGAACCGCCGGTGCCGCCATTTTCAGCTGCTGTAGTGCCTGAACGTGTGCTGCGAGCACGCCGCCGCGAAGCTGAGGCATTGTCTGTCCGTCCTGCGTAAGAACGGGACCGGCGCGCAGTGTCCGCTTCGCCGCTTCGGTGTCTTCGCCGCTCCTGGCGTGTAGCCATTGTTTTCGAGGCAGCAGCTTACTCCAGCGAGTATTCTTGCTCGTGACACGGACTACTCGAGAGGCGTTCTTTACAACGTACACAGAGCCTCCTTCTGAAAAGTTAGTGCCAACGACAGTTACGTGACCGGCTTCAATAACGTGCACATACAATGACTTCAAACTGAAAACATCCTGACCAAGATTCGGAAAGAAACTATGAAAATTAATGTTTTGCTTACGAAAATAGGAGCAGGACTACATGACTGTCAGTTTAGGGGTATGCCGTATGGCCTGCTGCGGAAGCACTGAAATGGGCGAAGCGCCAAAAGGTACACCAAGACGCGAGAAGGAAGGAAAGTTAGTTAGCGAAGTTCAAAGGTAGTCGGCTAATTATTCTAACAAAATAACCCAGGCACGTCCAACCCTTCCAGTCAAGGAAAGAAACCACATTCAAACACTTGAACGCTAGCATAATACAGTAGTCAATGTATTTTTATCTACTACCACAGTAGTACCGTGCTGACAGGTAAAGCCTATCACTTGCACTAACACTAACACCAAACTCCAAGTCCAAAGACTAGTTACCACGGTTACCATGGACCAACACCTGAACCATGATTCATGAACCATGTGAACACTGACAACAGCAGTTAGTCAGCTACTACACACTACTAGTACTACTAGCAGCTTGAACTACGCTAGATTTTTGTCATTTTTGAACATTTGAGCTGTAACTCGATGGGTACGGCCGGGTGGATTCGCGCCTTGCATGGTCTTCGTGTCACTTTTTGCTGCGTATCACCATGATCACTGGCAGCTCAGCCTATAGCGGGGATGTACATGTGCGCTGTACATAATAATAATATCTGGCGCCCAGACCGGGCTCACGCCTACATTTTACATTACTGCAGTACCGCAGTAGACCGTGCAGGCGTGCACGGACGTCGGTACCATGAATGATCAGTGCATGGACAGCATGCATGGTGCCGGCGCGGTGTCGATCACGGTACATGTAGTCACTACTACACTACATAGTACATAGCACTAGTCTGTACTCTGTACTCAGGACAGTGTAGGCAGTGGATGATAGATCTACCAACCCGCAGCTAGCTAGCGCTAGCGCTAGCCGTAGCTGTAGATCATCATCATGATTGTACAACAGTAGATCTACATGTAGGAATCTCTTCCGGTACTACTGTAGATACAAATGCACAGGGCGAATCCGAATGAATGAAAATCCGCCTACAAGTAGGTCACATTCCAGGCTTGAACTACTTTTATTTTGAAGCCATCGCCGCCGGTGTGATCGGTTTATCTACGGTCGCTGTAAGCTTTTAGTTTTTACATCCTACCATGAATACCCTAGTTCTGTAGACTTCCGACTAGAATGGCAGACTCCTCCTTAGAAGCTGCGCTGGTTATGTCGGGTTTTCAGATGTAGAGAAGCGAATTTGTCTTCCTCACTTTTACCGTCAGTAGCCCTCCAGCCTTGCCTCTGTGATTAGACTGAAGTGGCTGCGACAAGTGACCAGTAATTGCCAATATGGCAATAACAAGTTTTAGATCAGAAAACACCAGGTCAAGAGGACAAAAATCGTAGTCTTTAGAGCTTGGAGTCGAGAGGTCTTGAGCCGCCAGCCTGGAGAATGGTCGATCGACGCAGTTGAGGGCAGGTTGACTCCTATGATCGCGGATAAAATTCTGGAAGCCACACCTCCACAACTAGCTTGCTGTGGTAAAATACCTTCACCTTGATATGATCTTCATTATTTTTACACTACACATGTAGTATGAAAAATTCGGAATTTGTCAAGATTGTTTGCTAGCAATATCTTCAATCAGGCTCATCATGGAAGAAGAATCTCGCGATTTCGATTTCGCTTCTGTAGCGACTGCTGCTATGCAGCAGGCTCAACCAGGCACCGCGAGCAACGGCAGAGCTGCTAGAGACGGTGTCGAGCCTGGCCGCGCTAATCACGGCCTGGGCACTGGCATTGCGCACTTAGGCTGTGAAGGTGAGAGTAGCAGCGCAGCAGCTAGGCCTGTAACTGGCACGCCACAGCAGTACAGGAGACGACTCCATGGTGGTGAAGAAAATGAGTAAGGAGATAAAAGTAATCAAGATGTTTTCTGTCTCTAACTAAGTGCTTCTGCGTGTAATGTCATCTTCTACATCCTACATTTCAGGGGCTAGTCATAACCAAGTACTACAATCTGACTTAAAAATGCGTGACTTATCGCGAGTAGACTGTACAAGGTGTGTGGTGGTGGGGGGATGTGGGCAACATACATACCACGACATGGAAATCCGGTCGCACGTCTAGCCGCCCCAGGGCGCTGGCCATGCAGCCGTGGATAAGCGGAACATGCCTTTTGCGCTGCTGGTCGCATCGGTTCAACATGACGACGTGCACTGCACGCAGCGTTCTGTACGCGCTGAGGGCGCTGGCCCGGGTCAATCGACTGGATTTCCATGTCCGCTCGGTACATAGCCAATTCCTGATAGTTCTGCCCCTTACCTGTCTGGAGTATACATACGAGAGCTCGCTGGCAAGCAACTGGGCCTGTTTTGCATACTCAGACTTACGATTTCCCGGTATTCTGCAGCGGTTTTGCGTACTACCAATATACCAGCGTGTACATCATTGCATGCATTTTTTATACTATATGCATACTTGTATTGTGGTTGTTGACCTGCACATGCACATTGGTGGCTGGATTAGTTGCTGCAAAACACGTGTGACTTGTACTCACGGCATGATTTTTTGTGCTACATGTAGTCATAGCGTGACATGCACTCGCTTTCGTACAAGGATAGTCATCGCTTAGCTTGCGCTCACCATGCTTTTACACACTGAGTTGATCGATCAGCTTTGACTTTCCGTAGGATTTGCTCAAATTCCGTAGTGCGGACGAAGGAGTGACTTTCCATACAAATATGAAAATAATATTAGGTTGGCAGCAGTGACACGTAACTATGGCGTTTTTCATCGTGAGTAGGTTGCAATGACGGGCAGCACAGAAAGCAGGCATGGTATTTAACACCACATGACTAGTTTATAGTACAGCGTGCCGTACAAAGTGCCTGTACTTGGAATTATGTTTCCAAGGTTTCGTGATAAAAATGACTTTGACGTTTTAGTTTTCACCCTGGTCAGGGACGTAGCTCGCCCATCAGTCTGTGGTGTGGTGACCATGTACCATTGGCAGACTCGAAGCCGCCATTTTGCCTTTGTTTAGTGTGCTGACTGGACTACATTGACTAAACACGGTGTGGTGAAGCCAAGACTGGTTACCCCTCCACCCGGCCCTTTCTTGACTGTATGCAGCAGTTCTGAACCTGCACCCTATTTCTGACCTGTTTCTTTTCTTTCTGTGTCCGGTTTGCGTGCAAAGAATGGAGTTACGACCTCGCGGCACATCCCTCTCAAAAACGAGACGAAGAGTAGAGTTTAGCAGACAGGAAAGTGTTCTTGATAGCAGCATGACTATCCCAATTCCTATGCTACCAACAGCAGCAGTAGCTGGTCACACCATCTCTACCGTGGGTGCTGGTAATCTGAGAAAAGTCAAGTACAAGCGAAACGTGTCCTATCCATCTCATGAAGCTGATCATCAGGTATGTACTGCAAACATTCACTCACTCCTTTATGAAATTATTTGGATTTCACGGAGAATTTCAAAATCTGGAAAATATGTGCCTGATGAGTCATGTGGTCTGTAATTTCCTTACACTCTGCATTTATCGTATAAAAAAAACATTAGGCATCTTATCCTCTATTTTCCGGTAGCACTTTCTCTGAAAGTGTTACCTGTTCCGAGGACTCGGAGACAGCTACAAGCTACAACAATGATTGTAATAATCTACTAGCCATACCAGTAGCAGTCAGTTAGAATTCCACAGCAGTTAACTTAATGTTACCATGGTAACCACATACACTCACTGACTACTCATATACTTACCATGGTAACCACATACACTCACTGACTACTCATGTACATCATGTACAATGCCATGTGTTATACCAAACAGCAAGCACAGCAAGCACAGCAAGCACAGCAAGCACTGTGAATCAATTATCCTTCTTGTTTTTCATGTTGCTGTGACTCTGCAGCCTGGTGGAGAGAGTGGAAATGAATCGGACGAGGAAGAGGATGATGAGGAGTTTTGGAAAGAGGTAGTCAAGAATCCTTCCCGGACAGTTTGGTATAGGACCAAGCGTAAATTCCGTTGTTCGTATGAGATGCTATACACACATGTACATGCAGGATATTCAACATGATTATTGTGTTGAGTTGAAAACCCCTTTCCACTTTCTCTGTTGATACTATCAACTTAGTCTCCAGTCTTGCAACGAAAGGCTTCAATGGCATCTGTTACATGTGAGCATAAAGGCTCCTTCTTGGCAACACCTTGTTTTGACAAGGATGGGAATCTGTTCCTTTTCTTCTTGCTACTCAGGTACGTGAGAAGAGCAAAGGAATGATGATGTACAAAGCCGCGAAACAGACTACACGACTCGAAAGAATGTTCAAACGTCTCGGCAACTCCTGGGATCGCGTTCTTCTAGATGTTGTGGACCATGGTTTTGATGTTGAAGACGGACGTGATGTAAGTTAGTAATGTGTTTACTCGGTTTACTCGGTGTATATTGCTGGTGTCAGTCGCAAACTCTAACAACCCATGACATGTACACATTATACCTGACTGGTATATCATCACTCAATGACTGTTATTGTCATGTCGGCACGGTTGTATCTGTACATGTGTGCAGTACATAGTGTACAAGGTCAACCTTGCGAATAACAACCCTCGATTGTGTATGAGAAACGTGCCGTTATTCACGAGTCGTCGTTATTTGTGAGGTTGAAAGTATGCAGTCAAATTGTCACTAGATCTGAAGATTGTGTCATTATTTGCAAGTTGTTATACCTGAGGTCGTTATTCACGAGTTTGACTGTTGTAACCGACATATTGCCATGTGACATTGGTTTCTGATTAGACCAGCTCATATGCTGGTTTGCAGTCATGCTTCCTATGATAGCGTACGCTAATCCTATGACAGCGTACGCTAATCTCACATACTTCCTATGACAGCGTACGCTAATCTCACATACTTCCCATGACAGCGCACGCTAATCTCACATACTTCCTATGACAGCGCACGCTAATCTCACATACTTTCCATGGTGGCTGTGGATACCCTGCACTTGCTGTGTCGTGTCTTGTAGATGAAGTTCTCTTTGAACTTGTTACTTCATACGCATTCAGCCAGTGTTGATGCTACTGACGAAGGTGGAGACACTGCACTACACTGCGCAGCCAGATCCGGAAAGTTGGAAGCTGTGGAAATCCTCTTGCAGTCAGGCGCTAGCGTAAGTGCCATGTGTTAAGATGGCCAATGAGTATACCCATACTGGAACTTCAAGTCATCTGCCTCCCTTATAGTAGCATCATCTTATTCACTCTCGTAGTCGAATGGTGTGCTTCACTGTCCGAAGAGTGCTCAATACCCATGTAGGGCAGAGCCTTGTACACAAGAGAGAGATTGGAAGCTTTGTCACAACTCCGAGTTTCACGTATTACTACGATCATCAGGCAACTTATCCACTCTCTTGATAATGTATCAAGCACGGGGCGGTGTGCATCTGATTTACAACACACGCACACGCACACACACACACACACATATACATGCACATGCACACACACACACACACACATTCCTCGTTGCTAGTACTCTCAATCAGTATCTGGGTCAGTGTGAGTTTCAGTGTATGCATTCTGCATTTTCCCATGCTGTGTCTGTTCCGATCTCTTCAGACAACAGCCAGGAACAACAGGAGAGAAATTCCATTGTTGCTAGCGCTGCGTAAGGGACATGATGCTGTCGCTGCAAAGATAATGGCGTGTATGCAGCCAGCGCGGTAAGAGAATACCATGAGTGCATGTTCTGAACAGTACCGGGAGAAACTATGTAACTATCTGTTTGGCTAGAGCAAAGTGGAGAGGTGTATGGTTTTCATAGCAAGTGGAGTAGTATTCGGTATGTCAAGATTTGGAAAACTGGCACTATATCAGTGCAGTTGAACTCAAGTTTAGCAACCCTAAAAACCATGTTCAGTCTCAGAGCCACAGTAATTCATTACAAACAGTTTGATAACCAGATAGTGGAAGTGATTTTTACTCAAAGTCTGCTTTCTGTTCTCACTCTGTTTGCTTTGACATCTTCACATACATTCCCAGCGCTAGAATTCAACTCCATTTTAATTATGACTTAATTAATTAAGAGCTAGATTTCACCTACATATCCAGTGCTAGAACTCGCAACTCACATAACTGCCAATTTACGTGTCATTACTTTCACCATACTCCATGATTCCTGCTGGTGATGTCTGTCTGTTCTGACACTTGATGATCTGAAGACATGAGAAGAAGTAGGCAGGAAGTGCCTTTCATGGAGATTGGTGGCTTGCCGTTATGTCTAATGTGGGGTTGATTATGTGTTTGTTTGGCTTGAATTCAAGGTGAACACCTTGTGTGTGTGTGTGTATGTGTGTGTGTGTGTGTGTGTGTGTGTGTGTGTGCGTGTGCGCGCGCATGTGTGCATGGTGTACATTCCTGTGCAGCGTCCGTGACATTTTCATAGCCCATGGGAATGAAGACTGTGTATACAGCTTCCATCATCTCATTGAAGAGAAGGAAATGAAGGTATGAGTTACATCTGCTTCAGGGTCTTTGGATGTGTATGTATTTTCTTCGAAGGAACCTCACATTCATGTCAGCAAGTATCAAGTGTGCAGGACACATTTACAAGTACTTTACCAGTATTCTATCTGCTGATTGATGCTGTGACTGTTCAGGAGAGTTTAACTGCAGCACTTGATTGTATGGTAAAGAAGTTACATGATCAGCCCAATCACTTCAAGTTCTTCCTTCAAATTCTTGACGGTGATAGCAATGGCAGACATCCGAGAGACGCTCAGTTCACTGGCCGTACAGCTCTGCAGCTAATAGCCAAGTTTGGCAACAAGGTAACAAAGGTTCTGTTAGACGAATTATTCATCTTTTCAACTAGATGTGTGATGGTAGTTATCAAAACCTGACTGTGTATGTATATAGAAAGCAACTTATCACATGCTATCCTGCTGACCAGGCGGGCAATCGTGACATCATTGAATGGCGCTTGCGGTACTTTGACTGCAGACGGCAGTGTATCACAATGTTGTACGGATCCTGCTCTGGCACAAATGGAAGCAATTTGTCTCGAGAAAGTACTGGTGAGTCAGCTATTGATAGATGCCTATGTTGTCACTGTTGTTCATTCACATTATTCATGATTGTCTATATAATAGAACCTCTCTTTTCCTGGTGCCTCGGGACCGAGAATCGTACCTAACTCGGAAATTCACTACAACCACAAAGTATGTGATATGTTATTCTCTTCAGCTGTGCTCACTGGTCCAAGATCCATAAAATTCGCAGATATAGACGGGAAGAGATGAGGGTTATTATCGCACTTTCTGACTGCTTATTATCTTTGTAACAGTCGTGGATAGTTGCTTCTTATCTAGTTTCCATGTGTTTTCTAATTCTATTTACAAACGGGAACAGTCTGAAGAATAAATTGACTGTCACCACCAGGACTGCAACCAGGGACCTCACTGGTGGCCAGCAATGCTCTACCACTAAGCTATGGTGTAGTCCTCATCCAAGCAGCGATCATTCTACATCTTCTTCATTATGATGTAATTATGTTTGTCGCCTTACCACTGTTGTCACTGCTGTTACTGCTGCTGCTGCTGCTGCTGCTGCCGCTGCCATCACCACTGCCCCTATTGCTGCTGTTGTATGTGCATGTGTGTGGTATGTTGTCACCAGGATGCAAGCTGCAGTCTTCTCCCTTTATGTCGTTGTCATGTCAATGGCACTGATATTTGCTGGCGATGCTGTTGATCCAACTCAATACCGATCTGGACTGGATATTTTCCGTGCAATTTGTGAAGTTCTCTCCGTACTGTTCTGCCTGTATGGCCTTGCAGCTGAATGCAACCAGCTATACAAGTAGGTTTCTCTGGTCTGCATCTGTATCTTAGTTGTGTGTGTGTGCTAAATTGTTACCGGATGGTCTGTAAGGCCATGACTGACAAGCAGATGGTACCAGGTTTAACTCCTGTTTGCCGGGAAGGATTTTTCCTAGCATGCTGTGACCCACAGGTTTCTGGGAACTATTGGCTTGACACAAGAGTAACATGAATACATTGAATGGGCCTTTTGGTTATTGACTACATTGGATGATCTCCTGAACTCACACGCACCATTCTAGAAGTGGCGTGTGCACATTGATCATGGATGCTGGTGGTATTCCTTGTGATGCTGAAAGGTCGATTTATCTGACTCTTGCATGTCAAGATGCGCCAATGCAAGCGAGATGGTTTGTCTACATTATCTAGTCGTCTTCTTTCATCTTATTCAGTACCTCTGATAGGAAACAGAAAGGCAGATGTATAACTGTCATACAATGGCTGTGATATATAGCCTGCATTGCAGGTCAGGGTATGGAGCATGCGTGCTCCTCTCCCTCCTCCCGCAATGGGCCCCATAACCTTTACGGCAGGGGGTCAACAAGACCGGACAGGGCAGGTGTGTGTGTATGTGCACACGCATGTATGAGTGTGTGCGCGGGCGCGCGGGCATACATTCACGTGCATGTATATGTGTGAACGCATGAATATGTTATGGCATCCAATTTAGTATGCGTGAAAATTTGACTCTTTTGTGACCTTGTGCAGGCATCGAGGGGATTATTTTGAAGATCTCTACAATTATGTGGACGTGACGTCCTTCTCACTTATCCTGGTGGTCATTCCGTTGCGATTCACAGACTCATCTTCGCAGTGGACTGTGGCTTCGTTTGCCTATGTTGCAACTTGTATACGCTTCTTCAAGTATACATGTGCTTTTCGGTGAGTTATTAACTACAAGTATTCCTTATCACGAGTTGTTTTGTTAGTTGTCAGTGCTGAGTAGAAGCACTATTCTTGTTGCTCTCTCATTTCATCGGCCCATAACGGCTGGATACCATTCACCTGGATAACACAAGCCTATTGACATGCAACGTGGGCCAAAAGGTACATAATCTAATCGTCCTTACACTCTCTTGATTATCTAGTTGAATTGCCAAGGCTTACTTACGGTTGTGGACTTGGCTCATTGACCCTTTTATTCACCCTATTTGCACCTTCATGTAAGCTGCATGGCATGTGTTTGCGTTTTTTCTCTCTTTTCTGTACGCGCAGGAATATTGGTGCTTACACGCAAATCTTGGGCCGAATTGTTCGCATTGACATTGTGCGCTTCATGATCATCTTCTGCATATTTTTGGTGACATTCTCTGGATCATTCTATTTGGCTCTGCGGGGAGAAGAGGAGGCTATGTTCAGCCTGAAGGAGAATCGCACAGTGACCATTTCTGATCTTGATAAACCTGATTACTACCACGCAAGGTACCATTGAGTACATGTATATGGTGTTAAACATTTCATGTACAAGCGTTCCGATACATATTATAGTATGTTTTGAAAAATGCATTCGTACCTCAGACTTCCAACAATACGCAAAACCAGCTTGCCTCCGATTTCTTACCGCCACTCTGACATACAGCAGATCCGGTTTGAGCAAACTTGGATATTTCCAATTTTCAAGCTCCTGAATTCTATCTTGCCGATTTGAAACTGCAAGTGAATCTGCACCGAATGTGTCCTAATGTGTTCTATTTTTTTTAAAACTTGTATTTGCATAGGTCGTACCCTGAAATATTGCTGACTGGCCTGCGCATCATGATTGAGAGCGAGCCAATTATCGACTACTACGAGCGCTCCAGCAAGCTTGGGTAGGTCTGATGTGCTTGTGACCATTGTCTGTACTCTCTAGGCCTATGTCTTATGCATACAGCACGCCGGGGATGGACTGAACCACAAGCCAAAAGCTGTCATTGAGCAAGTCTCAGTTGCATCTTTGAGTTTGGTGATTTAGCTGCGAATGATGGCTGGATACCAAAAACATCATGATCAATGTAGTGTTGTTTCTCAGCACTCTTTGCCGGTCGGTTTTCAATTAGAAGTGTTTCTAATTCGTGTGTGTGTGTGTGTGTGTGTGTGTGTGTGTGTGTGTGTGTGCACATGTGCACTGATTCGTGGGTGTGTGTGGATGTGTGTACTTGTACAGATGGCTTGGCATAGTGCTGATTCTGCTCTTCATGTTCATCGTGATCGTAGTCTTGCTCAACATCCTCATTGCACAGCTTTCTGACACATACCAGAATGTACAGAGTGATGCCCAGAGAGAGGTGGAGCTAAACCGTGCCTACATCGTAGGTCATGTGGAAAAGAACAGTCTATTGTATAAGGTATGGATTATGCTACTACAGTACTACAGTACTACAGTACTACAGTACAGTCGGGTGCTGAAGATTATGCTGCTACAGTACTGTCGGGTACTGAAGAGAACTGGGGGGGGGGGGGGGGGGGGGGGGCAGTAGTCTCATAGCCTAGACCCGTCGTAGTGTTCATGTGCTACCGTCTATGCGCAGTGGAGTCACCGTGTGTATATTGGTATCCTGTGCCTGATGAAATTCTAAGCTGTTCGTTCCTTGGCACCCGACAATACTGTACTGCTGTTATGTGTAGTACTGTGATCCTACACAACACTACAGTACTGTGATCCTACACAGCACTACACGTCTCAGAATTCAAATATCTGACAGTATTGGTATGGTCTCTCATGACTATACTGCCCTGCTGGCGGACGCGATCATGAACTCCTTGATGTACCTGGTAATCACTTCCACTGACACCCACCTGGTATTGGGCAATCAGTTTGTTGTGAAATCCACATGCACATACAGCATTTATTGAGCTCAGTCCCTGGAGTAGACCATGACCTCTAAAGTACTGCCGATAGGCACAGTGAGCATAAAGATTTGGATTACCATTCATGCCCAGACTGTCCCACACTGTCCCATGTAATGTTTTGTGCTATTTTTTAGAACCTACTGGCCACAAACTACAAGCCGTTTGTATGTGTCCGCGACCCAGTTAGTAAGTTGCAGTTCTTCCCACAGTTATACGCACGGGTAGGGGAGCATTGAGTTTCTTTGGTGGTTTCCTCAATACTTCAGACATAGCTACTGCTGCTGCGGCTGCTGCAGCTGGCGCTCCTGCTGCTGCTGCTGCTGTGGTTGCTGCAGCTGGGATTGCGGCTGTAGTGGTGCCGTCAGTGCTACTGCTGCTGTTGTTGCTGCGAATGCTGTTGGTGATGGTGGTGTTGCTTCAAGTGCTACTGCTCATGGTGCTCTTTCTTCACCTACTTCTCGAAGGTTCTTTGTTTCCAGAGAACGTAGTTGTTTGTAATGCTGGGTAGTTCTACGGTATGCTGTCTGTTTTTTTTTTTTTTATGTTAGACGTTCTCGAGCGCTGGGAGTGTCCACCGTTAAATGATCTTCATCGACAGCTGCATCGCATGAGTAATCGTCTTGAACACTATGACTCATCATTTGTAACTTTGGAACACACACTGTCTCATCAAACAAGGGTGCTAGAAGAGCTCAAGTAAGTAGGCATACATGCTATAAGGGCCTTTTCTCGCTTGCATTAAAATATTCGCGTTGATTCCTTTTGGTCACTTCTCAAGTTACTACTGATTAGGAAGTGTAGTAGTATCTTTGGGACTAAGATAGGTAAATGCATAATCTGATGCTAGAATCTTGCTGAGGTTCAGGCAAGGCTTGCCATAATTATGCATTGGTGTACACTGATACCACACGTGAATAGGTGCATGACAACAGCGGTGATGTTTTGTTTCATTCTTTGCCGTGTTCTGGCCTCGGTAGTACATCGTAGATATAGAGACCATCTGAGAGGAATTTATAGAACCATAATCAAGAAGAGATCTGCATGCTACAAGATTATTGTAGATTATTTTAGCATTACCGCGGATTGGGAGATCATTTATACCTAACAAGTTTGAAATAACTCAGAAGTAGCGACAACCTCGGCCATTTGAAAATAAACTGAACCGTCCACCTCTCCACACCGCGCTCTTGGCCCACATTCACAACACCACACCATAGCGGCGAGGAAGTTCGTTCTTGGGTTTGAAATAGCTAGCTGTCCGGAGATTGCCAATTACTTCACTACTGTACTATCACTGTGTTTTGTTCTTACTTTGTATGCATCAGGACGGTGTGCATGGAACAGACTATGAAAATACAACGACTGCATCGCAAATTGAAAAGAAGGAGAGGAACGGAGCATGGCGTCAGAACAGGAGCCTCTAAGGACAGTATAACATCGAGTGATTCAGAATCTGACAGCGCACATGGCACCCGCAAACTTGAGAGTGAGGATGTTGAAGACGACGAACTAGGTGGTGTTGTTCATACAAGGCACGGCGCAGTTACAAGTTCCAGTGCACCCATTGCTGCTAGTGCAGTGTCAATGGGTGTAGCTGCCTCCTACCAGGCAACTGTGTCAGGAATTTTGCCTGGGTTTGCCGCGCACCGCCAGAGACTGAGTGAGCTACAAGAAACAACCGGCCATGCTCAAGCGGCATCATCACATCGCCAAAGATCCTACTCTGCGGGTGCGGCTGAATTGCACCACCATTCAAGATCACCACGGCAACTTCATCAGCGTGATAGAAGACATTTACAACCGTCAGCTATTGCAGCATCTCGCCATGGTGATCACAGCTCAGGCCGGTCTTCACCAAAGCCAAGAGATGCCAGGGAATTGGAACAGCGCAGCGCAGCCAGGACCAGCACTCTAGGACAAAGCCCAGCCAAGAGCCCAGTACCATCCATTGAGGTGCATCCTCAGCATGAATTTGAAAATGATGAATCTATCGTCTAGCTGTCTGAGTCGCCGCTTTCTGAACAGCTTTGAAGTACACTTAAGTACATTGAAGTACATTGAAGTATATTGGAGTACAATGTACATTGAAGTATAGTGAAGTACACTGAAGTATTATTGCTTACGTGTCACTAGTTGGGTGATACAGTGTTGATGGTTTAAAATGAATTTTCATTTTTTTCACGTCTGCAAACAAGAAACAGATACCAGTAACTAGGAACAGCATAGTTTCTTATCACATCATGCCGACGTTTGAGTTGAACTGTTCACACAATAACCATGCACAGTTGCCGTGCACTTGTGTCTGTATTTCTTAGGCTCTTCAGCAATGTACACTAGTGTATGTCCCATGCCATTGTGACCTAGACCAGAGTTGTGGCATTGAACACATGCATGCACATTGAACTTGAACTTTGAGATTGACGCTATGACGTTGTGCTTACTGATGTTTTTTTCTCGTATCATACACGTAGTTCCTTACCCCCACATTACAAAATACGTATGTAGAGAAAACAAAAATATGAGAATATTAGGTTTCGATGAATTTGAAGTTCTACCAGTTCCATTATATTAAATACAAGTACTTGAAGTACATGGACTGTACAAGTATTAAAAGTAAGTTTCGCTCTTCTCTTTTGCATCTGGACGTATGTGGATAAACAAATTTGATGTGGATGCTAGGAAAAGAGTACGAAATAAATTAATAATATTGTGACCGGATGGATGTACGTTGCCTTCCTCGTGTATAAGAGAGGCATTGTCATGGTCGCCGGGTATGTGTGCAGTGGAAGGTCATTATTTTCTTCCATGATTGTGGTGTGCAGCACCCCTCCCGTTGTTGAGTTGACTGGATCAGACCTGTAGGTCCGTCATCTACATGTACAAGACCATCGGCTCATCAACAACTACACGAGACATAGTAGTCATCTAGAACAAGACTCAACTGAAGTTGGTTCTCATGGTTATAGGTTGCTGCAACTAACTACTTGTCTGACTAGAGGTGCCTTCTACGTAATCGTTGCAAACATAGATAGGCAGAGGATATTGACAAGCGGGCCATAGGCATAGGGTAGATCTAGTGTAGTATGGATCAGGGAGTCGTATAGACCGGCTATACGACTATGCGACTCCCTGGTATGGATGGTTTCTTGCATGTCTGTGTCATACAGTAGTTAGTACTTATGGCAAGTAGTTATGACTACATGACTTGTAGATCTACCAAGACTGGGGGGGGGGGGGGGGGGTACCGGTCACCAAAGTCAAATGCTTGACGTGGCTTGCTTGCGAGCAGCTCGGATCCTCGATGCTGACAGGCATGCGCTGGTTTTCTTGTCTTGTCAACTTTGAACGGAGTCTGTCTCGGAACTCGCAGGTTGCATGCACGACAGCTTATAAGCGTTCAGAAAGGTGACTGTCTTCGTGCAAAGACAAGTAACTGAAGTTACTTGTCATCATCAGGTCGTCTGCAGAGTGCAGACTGCACTAGCATGACTAGCATCGCTACTGCAGCTGTGCCCTCCTTAGAACTGTGCCCTCCCGGGAACGGATATCCGAAACCCAGCACCTAGGTGTTCAGAAAATTCATCCAAGAGAAGGACAGGATGATCTTCATCAACAACGAGCTTCCTCAGCTGTATCCTGCTGCACGCGGTGCTTGCTTTCTACGCATGTATTCCGAGGTCCGTAGTTCTCGGGAAGAATAACGTCATTCGTTCGGCTCTTTACCGCGCGCGGAACGTCACTGTACGGCCGATCATGTAGAATAGATCTACTGACTGTACTGTAGTTACACAGTGCATCTTTTCGAGGTGGACGATGCACCTTGACCCCCACTGTCCCAGTAACTGAGTAAGCTTCTTCCGTAGATCTACTTGCCACAGTAAAAGAGACAGAAGCCATTCGTATTATGTACTGTTATGCCAAAAAGCGACAAGAAATGTTTCTGCTCAGGCTCAGCGCTTCAGTTCCAAAGTCGTTTCGAAGAGAGAACGTCGATCTCCGAAGCTCATCTTATGGTGTGAAAGGACTATCACTGAGCCGCGATGCAACCCTTTCAAGGTTCCGGGGCCACCAGTAATCTAGGGAGAAGGAAGGCTAGCGATAGCAGCTGGGCTGGCAAAGACGCAGAGTGCAACGCAATCTTTCCAGGTCGACATGGCGGGGAACCATACGACGATGCTGTTGATGACGCCAAAGAGTCAGTACTTCAGAAGTGTATCGGTTCTTTTGTCTTTGGGTAGTGAAAATGAAAATAAATTCCATTTCTGTCAAGACTCAAGCAACGAGCCGCCTGTAATGTTGGTAATACATGAGTTGTTTTCTTGTGGCAATGGCGTGGTTAGTACACTGGTTACAATGTCAAGCAGTCGGTATTGTTCATTTATCCGATCTGCCAGCTGCTGCTTCAGTTGTGGCGAATGAAATACTGACCGAGATCTACTTTCAGAATTACAAACCCTTTCTAATGGCAGCGTGCTCAGCGTGTGCCGGTACACAGGTGGGATTACATGAACAGACTGTTACTAACACTATCTATGAGTCTGATACACACTGGGGTAATGCGGAATGATGCATCGCAACTCACTTCTCAGATCAACACTGATCACGGAAGTGTTCAGAATCCAATATACATTTCCCCATTCCTATTTACAGTAACCGCTGTTGCTTAGGACAGAGCCATCTCATTAGTCCTAAACTTGCTGTGCCCTTTCTTTTGTTCCTGTTGTGTGCGAAAAGACGGCTATTGCCACAATCATTGCCAATACCACCACACCAAGAAGAGGTAGCCCGACAGCTTACACAGGTAGGCCAAAGCGGCACAGTGTGTTGTTATCTGTAGATGTGGAGCATTCAGGGCTTGCTCTTCTACCAGGTGTAGTTGACACTTGTGAGACCAACACTGGGCCTGGTGCACTTGGCAATAGGGTCACACGCCAACAGGCTTGAAGCAAAGTAAAGCCATCCGTGATAGCACAGCGTGATCCCTTGCCTTATCTGAAGTGCAGCCGGGCAATCCGCAAGACATGGATAATACTAGTGCTGGGTCGGGTAGCATTTTCTTCGGGTGGCATGGGTACCCAACAGTACGAAGTAGTGGTTGCGACTTCGGCGATGATATGTAAGAAAAGGGTTTGCTCCCCACACCGGAGCTCGCGCTATTCTTTCAAGTGTCAAGTAAAGTCGGCGGAATAGCGCGAGCTCCGGTGTGGGGAGCAAACCCTTTTCTTAGCATGGGTAGCCGATTGGGTAATGTTTCAATGGTAACACCACAATGCACCCCTTCCCGTACACACTGGGTAGACATGCAGAGTATTACATGAATGTGTACACATGCACTGTACATGATGTCATCTGCGACTTCGGGTTTTCAGGTACTATTCTGTACCCGACTACCCGAGGTCCGCGCGGGTAGCACGGGTACCCGACTACCCGTGCACACCCCTAGATAATGCCTTGCTAGTGCAGCTAACACTGGCATGTGTGAAGCAATGGCACCCAGGTGTACCTACGAATATGCCTCGCACAATGCAGTTCAGTTACAGCCTACTGATTGGTGACTTTAGCAGCTGCACTACGTTATAGTGAAGGTATGGAGCTGTTACATCTACATGGTACTTGCAGCAGGCAGAAGGTATAGAGCTGGTACATGTACATGGTACTGGCAGCAGGCAGCATGTATCTTCATATCTCAGACTACCTCTGTAAAATAACAACACGGCATCCCAGTGACTTCAGTGTGACTCAACACTTGCATGTGAAGCGGAGTAGCAGGGTTTCATATAATAGTTTACAATGATTATCAACTGCTAGGCATAAAATGAAGTAGATTCTGATGGAAAACAATCCATTGGTGGCTGTTGGACAGTGGATATTGTGGCGGCCTGCAGTGACCTGTGATCAGGAATATGTTGATCAAAGTTTTCATATCATTTAAAATGATCTGTGTAGTGGCAGCCATCTAGTTTCAAGCGATGTTCTGTCACACCAGGCCCGTGCACTGGTCCACACTCGGGGTGCAGTCAATGAGGAGGGAATACTTATAAAGGATTGACGGAAGCAGTTTTGTTTGGTTCGTCCATACCCTGGCCTGCTGTGATTCGTGTATGACAGCCTGGGGTGGGTACATACTGTTGTGGACTTGGAAATCCGGTCGCACGTCTAGCGGCCCCAGGGCGATGGCCATGCAGCCGTGGATAAGCAGTATACACATGCATTTTTATGCGCTGCAGCACGCTGGGTCGCATCGGATCAACATGTGCACTGCACGCAGCGGTCTGTACGTGCCGAGGGCGCCGGCCCCGGTCAATCGACTGGATTTCCATGTCCGCTACAGTATGATAATTATTATGACATTACACAGCAGTAAAATTCTGACATCAGTGGTGAACAAGGCCCGGCAGACAAGTGGACCTGTTCTGCTGGGTCTGATGTACATACTTGTACTTGCATTTATATGTTAAAAATTCCAAAAAACCCATACCTGTGCTGCATACTTGGTGCATACAGAGGCAAGACAAGAGGAGAAGTGTCTGTGTCGATCAGCAAACCACGCACCTGGAAAGGTTGTTCCGGAAGTGTGATCAGTCCTGGGATAAAGTACTTCTTCACGTTGTGGCCCATATGCTGCGCACTGATAGTACAGATGTAAGTTCTAGCAACACGTTCATCTCTATTTTAGTGACTTTGGACTGTTGCATATCACAATGCTCTTTATGCTACAAGTAAAACTGAGCAATGCCCAATAAGTGCAGTCTGTAGACGCCGGTGCTTATTATGGTTTGGACATGTCTTTCGCGAAGAGAAGGACACTGTGTCTTACAAAGGCCTTCAGATGGCAATAAAGACAACAAAGTAAATGTGGTGAGGCTTCCTGCAGTTTCATAAACAGTTAAAGGGGAAGTTAAGTCTAAAGTCAAATTTTCACCAGTTGTAGTCTTCGGGGTGCTGAGTCGAATGGTCTTGGTCCGAGGAAGCTGAGATGCTCCCTTCCTCCTATATCCCCAATCAAACTCGCGAACTTCCACCGAAACTGGGTGACTGCGCCCTACTAGATGGGGATTTGTATGCAAAATGTCACTAAAAGCGCCATTTCGTTCTTTTAAAAGCACAGATGACCGCGATTGGCCCATATGTTGTAGTCTATTGGACGCTGAGTCGACTGGTTTTGGTCCGAAAAGGCTGCGATGCAGCGTTCCTCCTTTATTCCCAATCGAACATGGTTGAACAAGCGGTCACGTGCTCCTGCGTACACCAGTCACCTGGTCACCGTGCCTGCAGGGTACAACTTACAGCCTGTTTGACCCGGGGGAGTCTTTTGGGTGCAGCCCTGTCACTTGAGTTGAACTCGAGTTGAACCTTGGTGTGAAAGTTGTCGCCTGCTGGTGCGGTGACTAGGTGACTTGGGCAAGCAGGAGCACGTGACCGCTTGTTCAACCATGTTCGATTGGGAATAAACTGAGGAGGAACACTGCATTGCAGCTTTCTCGGACCAAAACCAGTCGACTCAGCGTCCAAAAGACTACAACATATGGGCCAATCGCGGTCATCCGTGATTTTATAAGAACGAAATGGCGCCTTTAGTGACATTTTGCATACAATTCCCCATCTAGTAGGGCGCAGTCACCCAGTTTCGGTGGAAGTGCGCGAGTTCGATTGAGAATAAAGGAGGAAGGGAGCGTCTAAGCTTCCTCGGACCAAGACCATTCGACTCAGCACCCCGAGACTACAACTGGTGAAAAAATGATTTTAGGCTTAACTTCCCCTTTAAGAGTAGAGCCCACACGCTCTCTTCCATTAACACTGCAATAGTTCAACTCATTTCACAATAATTATTCCAACGTTTCGGCAAATTGCCTTGATCAGGTTCACAATGATGTGCAAGCTCTCAAACCAGCATTGATAAAGGCCAACTCCCCTGTCAGCAAGAATAATAAAGACAACATACATTCTAAAAAGAAGCCCAGAGATCGCTCAGTGACAAGATGGGTAGACACCATTAGGAATGACCTTTTACTTCTCAACATGTTTCTTTTGTAAGCGGAGCAACTTGACTCGGACAGAACGTACTGGCTCGCCGTTGTCGACAGATGCATGTCCCTCAGTTGATTTTTTTCATATGAGCTATATGCGTGCTGTATCCATCAGCACTCAGCCGAAGGCCGGAGATTGACACCCACCGGGCTAGCATCCCGCCGCCAAAGTGGAGCCACGCATCGTATGGATGTAAAATATGATGATAGGTAAACAAGAGAGAGAAACACAACACTTTTTAAAATATCGATCATAGGAAATACGAGAGAGTTTCGAGGAAAATGGGACCGAAAGAACTTCACCACCCACCCCAGAAGAATCACAAATAGAGGACCTTACGCAGGATAGCTGCCGAGCCACGGAGAGCATTCTTTTGCAATTCTGCCACAGAGCAGTAGCTTATGGCCAAGTGCTGATGGATGATAATGATGGCAAGTTGAGACTCAGATTGTTCCTGTGGTAGTTGGAACTTTAGGCACTGTTTCCAAACAGTTGCCAGGATACCTTGACACCATCGGTATCACCAGCTACTGCTCTGTGGCAGAATTGGAAAAGAATGCTCTGCTTGGCTCGGCAGCTAATCTGCGTAAGGTCCTCGATTTTTAATGCTTCTGGGGTAGGTGGTGGAGTTCTTTCAATCCTATTTTCCTCTAAATACTCTCGTGTTCCTATAATCGATATTAAAAAAGTGTTGTGTGTTTCTCTCTCTTGTTTACCTACCATTATATTCTACATCCATATGATGCATGGCCCCACCTTTGGCTGCTGGATGCTAGCCCGGTGGGTGCCAATCTCCGGCCTTTGGCTGAGTAATAATAATAATAATAATAATAATACCCTGGCCGAGTGCTGATGGATAATAACAGCACTGGTATATTATACCAATGCTGTACTCTGATGTTCAAACAATGCATATGAGCTTTAAAAGAACGACATGCCCATGTATGTAGGTGTTTTCATTGCTTGGTTTCTATTAGGGCTCAAACGGTCACGGCTTTACCCCTGACGGTTAACTGCTAAGCTAACGGTCGGTTAACCGGTTATAACCTATAAGCCACGGCAATCCTGCGGACTCTTTTTTAACCGTATATTTGACTATACTCATTCAAAAAATGTACCCTATTCAGTACAACGCACACGTGTGCATTCTCTTGCATGCTCATTCATACATACTCTCACACCAAGAGACCAGATATGACCGAGTTGACAGCCCAGAAACGCGCGCGACAGCCCGGGAAAGTGCACACTTTGCAACGACCTGATACTTGAAAAATTGACTGAAAAGTTACTGCGTAACCGTTATCTTTATCGGTTAACCGTTAATTCTTCGTAACCGGTCTGCAACCGGTTAATCGGACTAATCGTTTGAGCCCTAGTTTCTATGAATGCATGTCATTGTATTGTGAAGACAGTGTGCAGCCAAAATATACTATGTGCATGCCAGTAAGCATGCTCACTCAAACATGGCCAGAATAACAGTTGAAAAGCATTGCCTTGAAAGTTGCACGCCACGCTGCTTCGCTTTCCAGCTGGTTCAAAGATGAACAGCTTAGAGCTACCAAGTGCAGTGAGATACACAACAATGTGAAAGGCTGCGGTGTAGACTTTCTGTGCTAAGTTGTGCACAGCTCCAACCATTGGATTACCTGCGCTAGCATACGTTGTGCCCAGCGGTACATCCTCCGGTTTTAAGGCCGTATTTTGACGCTTGCGCTGAAGTCACTTCACAGATAGAAAATCAAGAGCCTAAAATTAGGAAGCAGGAGGATCTTGAACATTACTTTACGATGGGATTTTGATATAAGCAACTAGCAGCACCCGGCCAGCGTTGCCTGGCCGAACGTGGCATGCGGGTGAAGCAAGTACATGAACAGCACACGTGCTCAGCACGTGGTGGTGGCTACACGATTCGCACGCTTCGCGTGCTCAGTGCTTCTGTGGCTGCTTCCGCTAGCTACACGATTCGCACGCTTCGCGTGCTCAGTGCTTCTGCGGCCGCTAGCTACACTGTTCGCACGCTTCGCGTGCTCAGGGCAGCGCGGAGCAGCGCTTCTGCGTAACACACAGACAAACACACGTCACAGGTGCCTCTTCTTTATAGTATATATGAGTGCTGTGTGTTCTAATTCATTTCCTCAAATTGCTGTCATTTTGCGTGTTTTGCTACGCAGCTGAAGTTTGCGCTGAACGTGTTGCTTCATACACATTTGGCTAACACTAGTGCCGTTGGTGAGAACAACAACACAGCTTTACACTGGGCAGCCAGAGAAGGAAATCTGGGAGTTGCAGAGATACTTCTACGGGCTGGCGCTAAGGTATGGCGGGTCACGATCGGATCAAGTTTGATGGGAGATGATCAGTGATAACTGGGAAATTTGCCTTTAACTGTGCAGCTCTGATATATCCGGAAAATAATATCATCACTCCTGCATTTAAATAACCGACGAGGAGACAACAGTCGTAAATAGCACTGATGACTATAACTAATAATTATTGTGATATTTCACCGATGATAGTCACGAGAAAACGCTCTGGAAATTTTTCATTTTAATAATCGTTTTATACATGGTTATGAGTGCACAATTAGTTTTATTCATTGTTATTTTATCACTCCTGCAATTATTATATTTGCACAGCTGATAATGTAAGGTCCCTAACACTGTCAGGCTAACTGAGAATGCAGAAGCACACTCTAAAAGTCTCATACGTAGTCTACTTTCTCTAGAAGTTCAGCGGCAATGCTAAGTTTGTACAGTGTGTAATGTCTGTACACATTGTGATCACAACAAAGACTATCCTCCAAGCTTTCTCCTCATCTGTCAATGCTCCGTGCTCTTCTGCTTGACTCAGACTACTGCCAGGAATAATGACGGAGATATTCCAGTGGTACTAGCGTTAAGCAACCGCCATGATGCTGTTGCTGCTAAGATATTGGAATCCATGAAACCAGCAGAGTAAGTTTACTAAGTTTGCCATTACCCATTTCAGTCCTACCGTGCTGGAGCCAATTCAGGTCCAGCAGTGTGCGTTGGTGTTATTAACCGCAGAACAATGAAACTGGACCACCCAGCCTCAGCTGGATGTAAGTCACATCCCTGTCTAGGAAGTGAATGCTTACATTCCAGGTTGCATATGCTGGTCACTGAAAAGCCTGTTTGGTTTAGCAGTCTAATTCCTGGATTCAGGTAAACTTTTAGGGGAAATGGTGAAGCTGAAATGGTGAAGCTTCAAACTTATCATTATATTCGGAAATACAGTAGGCTTCCACTCAGTTATCAGCTATTACCCGGCTGAGAGCCTCTACCTCTCTACGAGTCTATCTCTACATCTACCAATGGTGCTGAGTACTCTTAGCACCCTATGGTAAACCCAGGCTTTGGAATGTGGGTAATCTTTAGATCACATAAACCATCTCTACTGGGATTTTCATCTCTACGGGATTTTCATTATTCAGTAACAAGCAATCGTGAGGAGACTTTGCTTGACTGAAATGTAAAGTAGACTTTATCCAAAAATGTTGATATCTGTTTGGTGCCTTGGCTAAGCACAGTGGCATAGGATGAGGTGTGATGTATGATGATATTTCCACTTAAACTCTGTGTGGTAAAGCTCTGCAGAACTTGCATCGAGAACTTTGACCTGTTATCCAGGCTACTCTGTAACCTATAGTAAACTCGCATGCATGGCGCAGCATTAGTTAGTTTCCCGACACGGGTAAGAACTAGTAAACTGGACTTTTGTCATGAATAATAATGCATTTGGTGTAACACACGGAATAATGGCTGCCATTTTACATGTGCCTGAATGGCTGTGAATGATGAACTGAGGTGCGTAAGTTTTTCTGTTTGCATGTCACAATGTGTGCATGTTTGTGTTTTTTCTGTGTGTGTGTGTGTGTGTGTGTGTGTGTGTGTGTTTGTTTGTGTGTGCATGCATCGGTGTGTTTGTGTGTACGTGTGTTTGTTAATCTTTGCATGGCTACGTGTGCATGTGTACATGCAGTGTTCGCAATGTATTTCAAGCTCATGACCACAAAGACTGTGATTTTAGTTTCCATGACCTTGTCGAACATAAAGGAATGAAGGTAAGAGTGTGCGGCTAGGAGATATGAACACACGTTTTACAACTCTACGTAATTGTGTCATTATGTGTGTGTGTGTGGGGGGGGGGGGGTGCATGTGTGTGTGTGGCTTTGAGCTCTGCAATTTTCATGGGGCAATGAGCTCTCCATGAGAAATGAGCTCTACAACTCTCCATGAGAAATAAGTTCTCAAATTCTATGAACTCTACCATGCTCGCTGGGGTTTGAACCGTCTACCATTCTCAGTGCTATTGTATTCATATTACCCAATCATTTCTGTGACCACTGAATCCTTGTGCTCAGGTAATATTTTGTACACACACCATAAACAGTGCTGCAGCAGAATAATGATGGCGCAGCACTGGTGTGCTCTATTATGATGCATGCATAGAATTCCCACGATAGCAACTGTAGTGCTCACGGCCACATACGTGCTGTGGCATTCCTTGGCCACTCCAGACATTCATGATAGTAGTACATCGTGTTATGTCATGCATGTAGCATGTGCTGTTTCCCGCTCGCGCGCGCACGTGAAACGGACTTCGCGGCTTTTAGTTGCTGTGCATGAGTTAAGTCTGGACTCATGTTGTTTTGGACTGAAGAAATAAAGAATTGGCGCTGCAAGCAGGGTCGGGGTGGATTCCGGCCTGTATGGGCGGCGGCCTGTTGGCGTGTTTGCCTGATAGGAGAGGCATTGGCAGCAGAGGGATTCCGCAGCTGACGTCATGCTAGGCCACCAGACTTTCGTGTAGAGTCGTTGCTTGGCTCGTGTCATGCCTTGGTGGCCGGAGTGGGCCAGCTGAAGTGTCCGCTCTTGGAGAGACAGTGGAATCACCAGACGATGGTCCTTGAGCAGGAGACCGTCGGCGACGGAGAGTTCATGCCTGTGTGTGTAGAACGGGCGGATGTCCACTGCCTTGCCGTCCCACATGCCCGTCTGCAGTGACAGCAGCACGGCATGGAGCATTGAGTCTGCTCGAGTTGCGGCTTGGATGTCAGACAAGAGGAGGGCGTTGGGAACAGAGGACTGCGCGATGGCATTGATATAGGCGGTGTCCTCCTCCTCACCAAAGTTCGGCAGGCAAGGATGTGGCTGAGGGTGACGACTCAAGACATCTGCTGGGTTGGTAGGGCCAGGTTCATATACCAGCTTGAAGTGGAGGTCTTGGATCTTGAGAGCCATCTGTTCAATGCGGGATACTACAGCAACAAAGTCTGGAATCGCCTATTCAGAAACATTTTCACACCAGTCAGAGCACCTTTTTTGACCAGTATGGACTTTCCATGTGTTGCTTGTTTCGGAGAAGGTAGGACGGGATTTTGTTTGCTACCCAAGCTTCGTGCTATAGGATCGCATAGTGTGAAACTTGAGTAAAAAACGAGCTTTTCTCTACCTTCTATGTAGGGAAGCTCTGTCCACTGTGGTATTGAGCACTGTACTAACAGAAGATGAACTCTACTGTGTTGCTTGTTGTAGGAGAGTTTGACGCGCGCACTTGACAGTATGATGGAGAGGTCACATACCCAACCTGATACAGTCACAGTCTACCTGCAAATCCTTGATGGTGACAGGAATGGCAGAGCCCCAGATAATCACCGCTTCGATGGCAATCGCACAATCCTCCAGCTAATTGCTAAAGGTGAAAACAAGGTGAGTGGTGACTTTAAAAGATTACCGTATTTTACCGGGTTATATGTCGACCTTTTACGACTGATAATAGCAAGAGAAAAGGTAGGGGTCGACTTATAACCGGCATTCGACTTATAACTGGGAATTATCGGTATCTTCCAAAAATGACCTGCACTGCATGCACGAGTGCGCCATGTGTAGGCATGTTTGCCTGTTAACTAGTATTTGCTTTTTTCAAGAATTTGGACGTTTCACCTTCCAATGAGGAGTGTTTGTGTCATTTGTTGATGTGTTAGTACTTCCTCCGTTAACAAAACTTCGTGATGGATTTTCAGGGACTGGTTTGCGCACAAACTGTCGTGAAATGAGTCGCAATCACTTTCTCAGCCTTCCCTGGCATGCCATGCAAGAGGTACGATGCAAGGAAAGTGACCTTTCACAACAAGCCGAGCGGAATCGATGGTTGCGCTGTGCCAACATCGGTGGTGTCAGTCATGGCGAGCGAAACTCAAATACCACTCCTCCGAGGGGATAATGCGCCGCTTGGCCTCTCTACTACTCTAGCACTGAGTTTGAGAGTGATCGAGAGCGATGGAACGGAGCAGCGAGCCCACACGATGTGCGAGTGAACAAGGAGCTGCTCTGATTTCACGGCGCAATGAAATAATTCTGAATTCAAATTCTTGTTCAACCTGCGCAAAGCCCAGATTCGAATGCTGGTGACCATACATCCTTTCAGAAGTCTGCAGTCCGACACGAGCCTCGTGGCTAAAGAATGTCGACTGGACTTGCTATCCGCTGCTGTTCAGTGCTGGCAGGGGTATCCATCAGAGAAAAATGGAATCAGTTTGGCTGTGCCTTTACTCCTCGTTTAGCGGAGTTCTGGAGAGCGAAGATGAAACCAGGGAGTCATAAAATATGTTTACGACTCCCTGGTGGAAACGAGTAATTGCCACCGCGGTGGATCACGCCGCTTGAAAGCCAACTTACTTGAATGACAGCAACATCAAGTTCAGCGGAGTGTGATCGAAGAAGCCGAGGCAAGGCTGAAAAGGGCTGAACAACGACTCGAGAGAGAGATGACGACTCGTGTGCAGCAGATGACGACAGCGGCGCAGGGTCAACAATGAGTCGAGCGAAAGCTACGCAAACTGAACTCTCTGCTCATTCCGCCAACAGTTTCTCTTGTAAAGACGCTGCACATAGGCTGAACTACCTTTGTCCAGTGATTTGCAGTTGATACAAACTGTTCCTGACCTGTTCTAAGCGTTTTCATATCCATCAAAATCCATCACGAAATTTTTGTTAACGGAGGAAGTAGCAGGTAGTGGTTAGCAGTGCTTCATTGGGAGAAAACTTTCAAAACAGAATTAAGGTCTCCGGATACGGGGTGTCGACCTGTAACCGATAAATACGGTACCTGACTGGATTCTTCGAAGCTGCACAGTGTTGTTGATTTTTTCTTCACATACAATGTACTAAATGGCTGCCGGTAGTGGCTGTGTCGTAAGCGTGCAGTAATATGAGCATTGCATAGCACATACCCTGTATGCCGGCCATGTCATACTATGGTGGACAAACAAATTTGGGATCCGTACCCGAATCAAGCGTTCATCCTCCAGTCTTACTTGTCAACCCTCACTTAACCCGGGCAAGAAGAGAATACTTTTTGTGTGCAAAACACATGCTGCCTCTGAGATGCATATCGTTCCTACACCTATCTTATCTGCCTTGGACTAATAATCAATGTTGTTGGGGGGGGGGGGGCATTGATCATTGGCACTGCAGGATGCTGTATGCCATGATGTTGTCAGGCTGCTTATCTGGTACAAGTGGAAGAAGTTTGTAGCTAAAAGATACTGGTAAGTACGCCAGTGTTGCCATGCATGCACTGCATTGTCTGCTGTAAGTACAGCGTCAAGTACTTCTTTTGAGGTACACGGAATTTGAAGTTCTCTTCAAATAATCCGATTCGAATTGCTGTCCCATATGCTAGTACTGACATTGCTTTGCTCTGCCTAACAGTTGTACACGCGTTTTGAATGCAAAAACTGCCGATTGTGTTGTGGTGTATTTGGTTGGAGAACACTTTGGCGAAGGCTTATCGGACCACACCCACTTGGTTTTATACCACGGAGACTATAATGAAAAACATCTGCAAAAGCAATTCTCTTTTCCGACCAGCCACCTCAAGAAGACATGTTTCCCAATTCGACGCCATGTGGAAGATTTCCGTAGAACATTTCCAGGTCACAGCTGCTTGTAGTGTGTTGTAACTTGGCAAAACTGAGCCTTCGTGTATATAATGCCTTCGTGTATATAATGCCTTCGTGTATATAATGCATAGAAGACAATAGTGCAACTCCGTGCGTAAGATTCCTGCATGCATGTTCTACGAATATTTGACTTCATTTTCAGTATGCGCATTTGAAAAAATCCAATGTGATTGTCCATTTCCTGATTATGTTTTGCTGTTTACAGGTCGCAAGCTGCTATTTTTGTCCTGTACGTTATTGCCATGTCAATGGCACTAATATTTGCTGGCGGTGCAGATGATCCGAACCAATATCGATCTGGACTGGACATTTTCCGCGGAGTTTGTGAAGTTCTTGCCATACTGTTCTGCCTCTATGGTCTTGTGGAACAAGTGCATAACATGTACAAGTAAGATTTCTCTGAAAGACCTGTAGTCTCTAAAACACCTGTAGTCTCTGAAACACCTGTAGTCTCTGAAACACCTGTAGTCTCTGAAACACCTGTAGTCTCTGAAACACCTGTAGTCTCTGAAACACCTGTAGTCTCTGAAACACCTGTAGTCTCTGAAACACCTGTAGTCTCTGAAACACCTGTAGTCTCTGAAACACCTGTAGTCTCTGAAACACCTGTAGTCTCTGAAACACCTGAAGTCTCTGAAACACCTGTAGTCTCTGAAACACCTGTAGTCTCTGAAAGACCTGTAGTCTCTGAAAGACCTGTAGTCTCTGAAAGACCTGTAGTCTCTGAAAGACCTGTAGTCTCTGAAAGACCTGTAGTCTCTGAAAGACCTGTAGTCTCTGAAACACCTGTAGTCTCTGAAACACCTGTAGTCTCTGAAACACCTGTAGTCTCTGAAACACCTGTAGTCTCTGAAACACCTGTAGTCTCTGAAACACCTGTAGTCTCTGAAACACCTGTAGTCTCTGAAACACCTGTAGTCTCTGAAAGACCTGTAGTCTCTGAAAGACCTGTAGTCTCTGAAACACCTGTAGTCTCTGAAAGACCTGTAGTCTCTGAAAGACCTGTAGTCTCTGAAAGACCTGTAGTCTCTGAAAGACCTGTAGTCTCTGAAAGACCTGTAGTCTCTGAAAGACCTGTAGTCTCTGAAAGACCTGTAGTCTCTGAAAGACCTGTAGTCTCTGAAACACCTGTAGTCTCTGAAACACCTGTAGTCTCTGAAACACCTGTAGTCTCTGAAAGACCTGTAGTCTCTGAAAGACCTGTAGTCTCTGGAACACCTGTAGTCTCTGGAACACCTGTAGTCTCTGAAACACCTGTAGTCTCTGAAACACCTGTAGTCTCTGAAACACCTGTAGTCTCTGAAAGACCTGTAGTCTCTGAAAGACCTGTAGTCTCTGAAACACCTGTGGTCTCTGAAACACCTGTAGTCTCTGAAACACCTGTAGTCTCTGAAACACCTGTAGTCTCTGAAACACCTGTAGTCTCTGAAACACCTGTAGTCTCTGAAAGACCTGTAGTCTCTGAAACACCTGTGGTCTCTGAAACACCTGTAGTCTCTGAAACACCTGTAGTCTCTGAAACACCTGTAGTCTCTGAAACACCTGTAGTCTCTGAAACACCTGTAGTCTCTGAAACACCTGTAGTCTTTGTCGTCATAATTTCCAGCATGTGTTTACTATGTACTTCCTCCGTAAACAAAAACTTCGTGATGGATTTTTGAGGGACTTGCTTGCTCACAAACTGCCGTGAAGAGAGCCACGATTACTTCCTCGGCCTTTACTGGCATGTCATGAAAGACGTACGGTGCAAGGAAAGCGACTATTCACAACAAACCAAGCAAATCGATGGTTGCTCTGTGTCAACATAGGTTATGGCAGCCATGAGGAGCGGAACTGAAATACCACTTCTCCTAGGACATAATGCGCTGCTTGGCCTCTCTAGGCCTCAGTTTGAGAGTAATAGAGAGCGATGGAAAGGACCAGTGATCCCACACAATGAGCGAGTCAATACGCAGCTGCTGCGATTGCTTGGCGCAATGAAAGGATTCTGAATTCAACGTCTTGCTCTGCCTGCACAAAGCCTAGATTTGAACATCACATTCTTAATAAGTCTGCAGTCTGACAAGAGTCTCGTGGCTAAGGAAAGTCGACAGGACTTGCTAGCCGCTACCGATCAGTGCTGGGAGGAACATCCAGCGGAGAAAATGAATAAGTTTGGCTGTGCCATTACCCTTCCTTTCGCAGAGTTCTGGAGAGTGGAGGTCGAAACCAGGAAGTCATGACATATTTTACGACTCCTTGGTGAAACGAGTATTCGCCACCACGGCAGATTACGCAGCTTGAAAGCAAACTTGATTGCAGCGACATCACCAAAATTTAGCGGAGTGTAATGAAAGAAGGTGAGATAAAAGCTGAAAGAGCTGAAAACAACAACTCGAGTACAGCAGACGAGGACAGAAACTGAGGGCAAAAGGGAGTCGAGCGAAAGTGATGCAAAATAAACTCTCTGCTCATGCCGACAACAGTTCCTCTTACAAAGAAACCATACATGGGCTGAACTACCTTTGTGGAGTGATTTCCAGTCCATACAAGCTGTTCGTGACCTGTTCCAAGCATTTTCATATCCTTCAAAATCCTTCACAAAGTTTTTTTGTTTATTGAGGAAGTGTGTGTGTGTGTGTGTGTGTGTGTGTGTGTGTGTGTGTGTGTGTGTGTGTGTGTGTGTATCGTGAATGGGGGGGGGGGGTTCAGTCCCGCGGAGTGCTATGTGGAGAGTGCTGGCTAGGCTTGGCATCCCGGAGAATCTAATCACCATCATCCGTTCCTTCCATAGCGACATGGCTGCCAGTATCCGTGTGGGTGGACACCTGCTTGCACCGACACGTGTTGAGAACAGCTTGCAGTAGGGTTGCACTATGGCCCCCGTTTTATTTAATCTCTACATGTGTGCAGTCTTTGAGAGATGGTGTGGCGTGACTGCTGGTGATGACAAGCTGGGGATTCTACTCGCCCAGTTTCAGAGAGAGGGGCTTGTCAACGCCAGAATGGTAGAGCATCGCAGAATTCGGCTAATGGAGTGTCAGCTTGCGGATGATTCGGCCCTGCTTGCAGTTACCCATGCTGGTGCTGAGAGGACCCTATCCTCGTTCAGGGATGTAGCTGGTGCGTTTGGCCTTCGTGTTGATATGTCCAAAACCATGGTGGCTGGGGCTGGTGTTGTGGACACCGGCCGGACCCCTTTGGATAGTGGTGTGCAGTGGTGGTGTAGTGGTGTGGTGTGGTGTGCAGCACATGGAGGCTTTTCTATCTCGGTAGCCATGTAACGCCAGACGCCCGGAGCGCATTCGGCGTGTTTCAGCGAGTTGCTGCTGCATCGGGTGCATTCTGTACGCTACGAGAGTCAGTGTTCGACAACGATGATGCTAGCATTGCCATTAAACGCATGGTGTACGGAGTGACTGTCCTGGCCGTCCTTCTTTATGGGTCGGAGAGTTAGACCATCAGGCAGCATGGTGCTTTGTATCGGGCCTGATGTGGCACTATTATATTGTGATTTTTTTGTGTTGCCATTTCGTTACAGAGTTTTTCTACTTTATGATGTTGGTCTACTTTGACTGCATACAGGTACAGAAGTGACTACTTTGAAGACCTGTACAACTATGCTGACTTAGCATCCTTCTTTATGCTGCTGGTGATAATCCCACTACGCTATGCAGACTCTAGTTCACAATGGACTGTGGCGTCATTTGCCTACATTACGACCTGTCTGCGCTTCTTCAAGTACACATGTGCATTTCGGTAAGGTCTTTTATGGGATTATCAGTTTTCGACCACTTTGGTGGTGGGTCTTCTCTACTCACCTCCCTCCACTTCAGGAGCTGCATCTGCACTTTGATCCTAGAGGGTGGCGACGCTCTTACGGGTGCGGAAAACGCAGGCCAATTGAGTCCAACACGAGCCATGAATCAATTTTTTTTACGTAAACCATTCGATACAATCATTTTGTTTGGGCGTGCCCAATGTCCACTTACGTTCTATGACGCATGCACACGCATATTCATTATTCTTACTCTTCCACAGCCAGTTGGCTGTCCAAGCAGTGTAAAAGAGCAGCAAAATTGAGATGCTCTTAGTCATCACATTGACACTGCTCCGAGTGCAGGGTCCCATGAGCAAAGCGATGAAATCTAACCAAGTACCGTATTTCGCCGATTATAAGTCGCACTCGATTATAAGTCGCACCCCCATTTTCAGGTTTGAGCAATATTGTTGCGATATATTCACTTCAGTAGTAAGTCATGCTCGATTGTAAGTCGCACCCCCTTTTTTACCCTGAATTTTAGTGTAAAAAGGTGCGACTTATAATCGGGGAAATACGGTATCTATGGCAGTGGACAGTACAGTCCATTCAAGCTTTTCATGCGTCTTGCACTCGGACTACGCCTCGTATGTTGTGAGTGTAAGCAGCCATCCAGCTGCCAGGCCAGTGGCCAACAGGTTTTCTTTTCACCTTGGTGTTGTGTGTTGTGTATTTTCTGCCATTCAGGGAAATTGGTGCGTATACACAGATCATGGTTCAAATCGTTCGCTTTGCAATCTTGCGCTTCATTGTCGTCTTCTGCATATTCCTTGTGACGTTTTCTGGATCTTTCTACCTGGCCCTTCGAGGAGAAGAGGACGAGATGTTCAGCCTGAAGGAGAATAGGACGCTGACCATCTCTGATCTTGATAAACCTGAGTACTATCATGCTAGGTATGTAGATAAACCAACACATTCGAGATGTAGATACAGCATTTGGAATCTGTTTGGTACTGCATGCATGGCATTAGCACTATTGCAGTGGTGTGTAATGTTCAGATAATTTAACTTGTTTCCATGCAGACCATGGCTGGATTCTATGTTACACATAGGCATGATGTGGTACAAAGGAGATAAGCTCCAGTTTCTCTGAGCCGTGCTGGACAGCAGCCCTACATAGTAAGGGGGGGGGGGGGGTAACATCCGAGTTATAAACAGCTGTTTTCTGGTTGGAGTCGTACCAGGCTGTTCTTGGCTGTTCTCGATGATGGCAAGATGCTTCATTACCAAAGGAACAATAGGTGTACTGATCTGTCACCTTTCTTTGACCATGGCGAGTTAATAGCCCATCTGTGACAAAGGATCTTGATTTAGCCCATGCCATGCGACACGTAGTAGCTGTAGGAAGCGTTCCAGCATAGGCTATTTTACACGCCATATAGGTACACATGTTTCGGCCGGGTGTCGCCGTATTCAGACTTTTCAGGCAGGGGATGTTCCCCTTGGCTGGGTTCAGTAGAGTGATCTGGACTGAATTCATAATACTTGTACGTACCCAACGCCGCTGTGGACAGCAAGCTATTTCGGCCGTATAGGCCTCATCAGTACAGCTACGAGCTTTAAGTAAGCCGAGCTGCCGGCCATGGAGGCACCACAGACATTAAGATAGCTCGTTGATCTAGTGCCAGACGGCTCTAACTACGAAAAGGAGCGAGCAATGCGTAGTGCTTGTACCTATCTAACATGGTCCAGTAATAACAGTATCCTCCTGTACTTGGGTGTATATGTGCATTCACTATTACAGCTAGTACAGCTAGTACAGGTAGTACAGGTATTACAGCTAGTACAGGTATTACAGCTAGTACAGGTAGTACAGCTAGTACAGGTAGTACAGGTAGTACAGGTAGTACAGGTAGTACAGCTAGTACAGGTAGTACAGGTAGTACAGGTAGTACAGGTAGTACAGGTATTACAGGTAGTACAGGTAGTACAGGTAGTACAGGTAGTACAGGTAGTACAGGTAGTACAGGTAGTACAGGTATTACAGGTAGTACAGGTAGTACAGGTAGTACAGGTAGTACAGGTAGTACAGGTAGTACAGGTAGTACAGGTATTACATGTACATGCACAATACTGAGAGTAATACTTACAAGTCACATTTGCGGTCCTTATGTTCGCCTTGCTGCAGGTCCTATCCGGAGATACTGCTAACTGGAATGCGCATCCTGATTGAAAGAGGGCCCATTCTTGATTATTATGGGAAGTCAAGCAAGCTTGGGTGAGTTGGACAGACTATTGGCAATGTAACTTCATTGAAAGGGACCTTATTGACATGGAAGTACATGTAATGGAGAGAACAGAAGGAACACAAAAGACTCAGGCAAAAATTGACTTCAACGACGACGACGACGACGACGACGCCAACAATAACATGAACTGAGATGTTGCGACTTGGGCGGTAATTGTAGAAAAAGGTGGCTGCTCCAAACATCATCGCTCGTGCTTCCTGCCGACTAACTTGACACTTGACTGACTCACGACTGCCATCTGGAACACACAAGAAGAATGCCGGGCTGTCCACTCAGCAAACCTGCAAGAAAGCACCACTCCCTTCTCAATACACAGTGTTTGCCCGAGGTGTTTATTGTGCTGGAAACGGAACGTCACTGTAAGTTGGTATCCCTCTTGAGTGATTTGTTGGCTTGGAGAACACTACAAAAATGCAGTGCTCTCGGAGAACACATTTCATTAGCCTACTCAAGCTCAACTGATGAGGAGGGAATTCCCTGAAACACTGTACAGTGTGCAGGGACTGGTGCTTTCCGGCAGGCTTGCCAAGTGGACAGCCCGGTACTCTTCTCGTGTGCTGCAGACGACAGTCGGGAGTCAGTCTAGTGTCAGTCAGCAGGAAGTGCAAGCTCCAGCGTTTGGAGCAGCCTTCTTCTTCAACAACAATGACAACAACGACGACAACACGTGATGTATACAAAGAAACAATCGGGCTAAATCACTATCACATCTCCTGCTCATTTCTTCTGTAAAAAATACTAAGATGTATGAGCAGATCTTCTTGAGATCCATTGCCAGGTGACTACCATATTCACATACCATGTTACGTACTATGTATTCGGAAGTAAAACAAACACCAGTGTACGTTGTAGACCATGGGTGCCCTAAGCAGAACTATTTGCTCAAAGCCCTATGGGAAGACATTGGCTATGGATAAATCTAGGAATCGGAACGGGCAGATTTTGCGAAACTGATGATCAGATCATGTGTGTGTGTGTGTGTGTGTGTGTGTGTGTGTGTGTGTGTGTGTGTGTGTGTGTGTGTGTACTGATGCGTGTTTGTGTTTTGTGTGCGTATGTGCATGAGTGCATGTGTGTGTATATGCATGGTTGCATGTATCTCTGTGGTCATGATTGGGTTTGCATACTTTTACAGATGGCTTGGTATTGTGCTGATAGTATTCTTCATGTTCATCGTCATCGTAGTTTTGCTGAGTATCCTCGTTGCGCAACTGACTGATACCTATCGGAGTGTGCAGAGTGATGCTCAGAAAGAAGTTGACTTGAATCGTGCATACATTGCTGGTGAGATGGAGAAGAACGGCTTATTGCGTAAGGTATGAGTGACGTTATTCAAAAGATGTTGCACCATTCACTAGTTTCTCTAGTCATATTCTACTGTTCCAAATTCCAAACTGCGAACCACAGTGGGTACAACATGTTATTTTCAAAGGACCAATAATGAGCAGAAGAGATACTATGCAGTCAACGTAATCCACAGGACCGCCACGCAGTCTTTGATTGGTCCGGTAGAATCATGACCTTCCATACATTGTGTATGATATGGCGGGTACACATGCCCTCCACAGTAGGAAATATATTTTGATGCCCAAGAAGTTGGTCAGGTGATAGGCTGACCAACTGGACCGGTTCCGGTGGGCATGCTCCAATGCCACAGTGTCTAGCTACATCCGACGTGTGGTCGGAAAGCAGTGGATAATCTGGATCTAGAGTCAAATGTGCCGTTACTGACCTCTTCAGAAGGCGACCAACTACCGTAAACGACAGGGGTTTTTTTCATGACCGTCTCACATACAAACTGGCGACCATCTGTCTCGCGCAACCCGCGCTTGCAATTTCATGAACAGAGCTTGCATATCAATCTGCTGAATGCTACATGACTTTTGTGTTGCTGTGAGGCGTAACTCACATGAGCTTGAGTGGTCAATTTGAGTGCATAGAGTTACATGACCAACTGTCCTGGAAGCCCCAAGTGGACTTTATTGCCAGCAAGACTGCTACTACAATCGGGCAGCTCTGGCGCCATGGACGGTGCCTTTCACTCAATGCCCGCCGGGCCTGGTACATGAGTATGATCCAGTCTGTGCTCTGCTATGCCTCAAACTGTTTCTTTCCCGCTCTATCCAAACTGCTGCTGCATCGACTGCTACGCATTGCTAAGTCTGGCATACGAGCCATCTTCCAACTCCCCAGAAGGACCCCCACTGCTCCCCTATTTGCCAGACTATCAATGCCTCAGCTCCACCAGCTGTACGTGCAACGTCTGCTTCTCTTCGTCTTCCGCTGCCTTCATGGCAGAGCCAGCTCACTGTTCCAATCCTACTACTCCCTCATTGCCACGGATGTGGACAGAAGTTGTGTCACGCGTGGTCAGGTCAGCCAGCTGCTCAGAGTGCCGTTCCTACCTGGTCCCTCAGGCCGTAGCTCTTTCGCCTTTGTTGGCAGTACCACATGGAACTCTCTCCCAGCTGATATTCGCGCTTGCGACGTACGCCACATGTTTCAAGGATTGCTGTCTGGCTATGACCTTATCTCCCTCCTCAACTAGCTCTCCGATGTTGTGCCTACTATGTCTTCTTCACAGATTCTGCCTGAACAAATGCTCATCAATTATGTTCTTGTCCTCTATCCTAGTCCAAATTCTGCCTTGCCCATGCATGACTCTCATGAAATGCCCGTACTAAATAGTCTATAGAACAAGAATATTGGATATCATACTTCTCTCATCAACTATGATAATACCCATTTCATACCCCCCCCCTTCATAAAATTAATACCTACTGTTTTCTTTCCTTTCATTTCATCTTCTTTTCCGTTCCTTTCTTCTTCATACAAATTTTAAACATTTTCATCATATTGTGTGAGCCGTGGGCCAATAGCCCGGTGAGAAGGCAGTCTTGCCTGTTCATATGGTGAAGTAAAATAAAGAAACAACAACAACAACAACATGCTGGAACACAGACGATATGCTGCCATTGCCATAGGTTTCGTGTGATCAGCAGCACATCACATAGCAATATCATTGCCTCTCCAGGCGCCTTCATTTTTGCCTCTGTCTGCCGTTCTAAATTGTCACGCCTGATTATACCACTCCTCTCCTTTAACCCTAGGCACTTAGCACTAGTATCATCATTGTTGCCTGATGATTGGTGGATAGCCTCGTTCCATTGCCAACTTATGGAAGTTCAGTAGAATGCCGACTATCCGACTCGCCAACCATCCGAATGATCAATTATCCAAAATGCCTGTTTGCACTGAATGTAGGGGACAAGAAACGTTTTTCCTGATTTTCCCCAACCGATGCACCATTCAAATGGTGTACTGGATGTAAGGCAGCAGGTTTGCGTCAAAATTGGGTCCCCAATGCGTCATTTAGAGGAGCTTAACGTGTCTAATTTCTGTAGTACTGCTGAAGAGAATGAGAAATGATGAAAAGATGAGGGGATATGCATGGTTTAGATGGATTTGTGACCGCTCCCTTATCCAAACTTACTCCTCATCAGAACCCCCTGGAGACAGCACCGGTCCCCAAGGGTTTGAATAATCGGCACTCTAATGTACATACAGTGAAACCCGCTGCATTTACCGGATGCCCTTGGTGTAGCAGAATTATTCTATCCTCATGTTAGGTACCTCCTCCCGTACCTTTTCTAGCTGGCCTGCATGCACTTACGTACTCACCTTTTGTCTCCTTTTGTTCCGTTGGCCTGGGTAGCTACTTGCGCGCCCATATTTGCCATAGCTACCCAGGCCCTTTATCTTGCCGTTCAGACTTGATCTCTTTCTCACTCTTCAATAATCACCATGTAGTCGTTTCGTTCGTCTTGGTCTTTTGTCCCGTCTCTAATAAATGTCGTTCCACCAACCTACCTGTTCCCGTCGTAATGTCTGGATTATGTGTCGTCAGTCGTCCTTTCTCGTATTCAACACTAATATGACAGGATTCCTCCTGATGGACTGATGGAGGTATGCACGACCCACAATATGCATGTCAAATTGATCAGCATGATGTCATCTTTGGTTCTAACCAAGTCAATATGACTGAAAGGAATTCGGGTGGACACACCCATTCCCATGCCGCTGCACATCCGAACCAGTTCCGTTATTTTACAACGTTTCGGCACTTGGCCATCGTCAGATAAAAACAATGAATACCGTGGAAGCCACACAAGAGCAGTATATATACGCAGAGTGTAGCGCCAAAAAAAAAGATGCGAATTATGTCACCTAGTATGCAGAAGGGGGGGGGGGGGTGACAGAGAGAGAGAGAAGGTGCAACTAGCACATCATGGAGAAGAAGCAGCAGAAGGTGGCGCGCTTGTGTGGCTTCCACGGTATTCATTGTTTTTACCTGACGATGGCCAAGTGCCGAAACGTTGTAAAATAACGGAACTGGTTCGGATGTGCAGCGGCATGGGAATGGGTGTGTCCACCCGAATTCCTTTCAGAGATGGAGCTGCAGGAAGCCTCAGCCCTTCTTCAATATGACTGTTTCTTTATGTACATGAACAAGGTACATGTATTCACATACATACATACATACACACACATACACACACATACATACATACACACACACACACACACACACATACACACACACACACACACACACACACACACACCTGTCCTGTGCCTGTCCTGAACATTGCCGTTTCCGGTTACGTGTCCCCTCGTGTGAGGGGCCGACAGACAAGGAGAGTTGGGTTGAGGCGCTGTGTCGCATCAACGTCCTAGCGAGATTTCCTAGCCATTTCATTGATCCATTTGTTGCAGTTGTGTAGCTGGAATCCTCGGGTTGACTTGCAACAACGATCGCATTGGCTGCAGTGGGCTCTGCAGCAAGGTAGGGCAAGCCGCTGGCGGGTGTCACACGATGGTCCAGCAGCGGTGGCTTGGCCGTGCACTGGAGTAGCAGATGGGGGCATATCCAGGCATTTGTGGACGGCCAGTCCGCCAGGGCTGAGAATCCAGCGAAGACATGCGGTGCATTTCCTGCTGCCAGCCTGGTCTGCTACGGGTTTGCGACGCTCTTCAGTGCACTTGTGGCGTGGCAGGCCACTCTTCGAAAAGGATCTGTTACAGATACTGCACTGAATCCGTTCACGAGAGGCCGGCTGTGGTGGTGAAGCAATTCTGAATGCTGTGCGCCACTCTCCCCGCTGCTGCGCGGTGTCGAAGACACACACAGACACACACACACACACACACACACACACACACACACACACACACACACATATATATATATACAGTGGATATCGGTTATAAAGTCATCGGACATAGTGATAAACCGGCTATATTGATACAAAATGAAAATATCAAAAGCAAAACCAGAAAAAGCCAGTCAAATTATCGTCATAACCAATAATATCGGATATAGCGATAAATCGGCTATAAGGATACAGAATCACCATTCAAAACACCTCTTTGTACAGAAAAATATCGTCTATATAGTGATAGCAACACAAGCGTGTGAGGCATTGACGTCTCGACTTGGAGCCACATGTGTGTTTTCATAGTGTATTCTGGTCTGATGCTTCCTGGATGATGCCTTGGGGCCAAGAAGTTCTTCACTCTGGACTGGGGAAGGTGCAGCAGCATGCATCATGTATCAGTTACGCCACATTAGCGTGATCGAGTACCCACACATGTATAATGTGTATGTATGACGCGCGCAGTTGAAAATCGCCTGTAGTGATATACCGGTTATAGTGATAAAATGTGAAAAATCAGAAGGGCACGTTATAACCAATATCTACTGTACATACACACACACACAACGACACAAAAATGTACAAACTTTCATTCTAGGTCATGAAGTGAGAAACTTCACACAAACTTGTGCAACGGTAAATCCAAAACTTACTTACCGGTATATGAAACGCGAAATAAACTTTCGTGTGAAGTTTTGTGAGATCGCGAGTGAAAGTTCATCGCTTGTTGCAGGTGAGAATTGGACTTGGTGCACGAAATCCGTTCCGCTTTCCGCGTTAGAAAATTTCCACTTTAGACAATTTCTACTTGTTGCGGGGAGTTTACAATGGCAGCCCGTCCGTGCACGACAATTTGTCTGGTCCGGACAGGTTGATTCAGGTTCAGTTATTGTACATGTGTTGGTTATTCCGGGTTTGTATTTAATTCGTTATAAGAGACCATTTGACATAAGAGACCGCTTTTGCTTGAACCAAGGGGCGGTGAAGTATGACCGACTTGACTGTATTCTTGTTTATTGAACTGTTATGCATGGCCACTTTAGGATCTACTTGCCAGGAATTACGAACCATCCATCAATGTCCGTGATCCAGCAGGTAAGCATTTACATTTTTGTTCTTTCTACTACATGTTTGTGTACAGTGCTAGTGATGATCTCAATACAAGGCTCCAATGGAGACACGGCCGTAAACAAAGTCAAATGTGTAAGCTCTATGACAAAGAAACACAGTCCCCCCCCCTAGCAGACATGCACGTGTGTATGAGTGTCTGTAAGTGATGTCAGAGCAGAAACGTGCATAGATATCACAGTGGAAGAATTGAACTTCTCAAGTAATTAGCAGCTTAGCTTGTGCCTCTCTCTCTTTGTATGCCCCAGTCTCTCTCACCCTTTTGTTTACTTTGTTGGTGCTATTCTGTAGTCGCTAAACACTGGGAGAGTTCACAAACAAATGAAAATCGGCAGCTACAGACTATCAGTAATCGGCTGGAACAGTGTGACAATTCTCTGTTATCAGTGGAGCAGAATCAGTCATCTCAAAACAAACTCTTGAAAGATTTGAAGTAAGTGCCACTAAGTGTGAAACTGGTAATGAACGGTGTTTACGTTTCAACGTTGAATGTCAGTTTATCTGCATTGGAATCTCAGTATATCTACATTGTATAATATTCTACGTAGCTTCCATGCTAACTTTTTTCAGACTAGGATCTAAGGTTGTGATGGTGTTTTGCTGGCATGCCTTTCCATGCAGTTGTTACTAATTCTGACCATGAACATGCATCCTTACAGAATCCATCATGCTTCATGCAAACTCGACTTGAATTACATGAGTACTGTATGTTCTGTGGCCTAGGGTGCTCATACGCCAGCCATGATATACCAATTCCGGCAGCGCATTAATTAGTGTTCTGTAACTGTTTTTGACTCGAAATTTATGCTAAGGGAACGTTCTTCGAGTAGGTCAATTTTCAGGGGCCTGTGATAAGCAAAGTGCTGTGACAACACACAAATTGGCTTACACAAACAATATAATACAAATTGGCTTACATTTCATATTGAAATCAGCTTTGGCAGGACCAATTAACAGTGGACACAGCGGCAAACAGACCTTCATTCAAACATCAGGAGCCAGTTAAAGCTGAGAATGTCCAGGCGAGAAGAAAATACAAAAAAACGCCAATCACTGCAGAAAAGTGGACCCTCCTGGTATCTCCACCACCCTTTCCCTGGTATCTCCACCACCCTTTCCCCTGGTATCTCCACCACCCTTTCCCCTGGTATCTCCACCACCCTTTCCCCTGGTATGTCCACCACCCTTTCTCCTGGTATCTCCACCCCACTTTCCCTGGTATCTCCACCACCCTTTCCCTGGTATCTCCACCACCCTTTCCCCTGGTATCTCCACCACCCTGGTATCTCCACCACCCTTTCCCCTGGTATCTCCACCACCCTTTCTCCTGGTATCTCCACCACCCTTTCCCCTGGTATGTCCACCACCCTTTCCCCTGGTTTGTCCACCACCCTTTCTCCTGGTATCTCCACCCCCCTTTCCCTGGTATCTCCACCACCCTTTCCCTGGTATCTCCACCACCCTTTCCCCTGGTATCTCCACCACCCTGGTATCTCCACCACCCTTTCCCCTGGTATCTCCACCACCCTTTCTCCTGGTATCTCCACCACCCTTTCCCCTGGTATCTCCACCACCCTTTCTCCTGGTATCTCCACCACCCTTTCCCCTGGTATCTCCACCACCCTGGTATCTCCACCACCCTTTCTCCTGGTATCTCCACCATCTTTCCCCTGGTATCTCCACCACCCTTTCCCCTGGTATGTCCACCAACCTTTCCCCTGGTATGTCCACCAACCTTTCCCCTGGTATCTCCACCACCCTGGTATCTCCACCACCCTTTCCCCTGGTATCTCCACCACCCTTTCCCCTGGTATCTCCACCAACCTTTCCCCTGGTATGTCCACCAACCTTTCCCCTGGTATCTCCACCACCCTGGTATCTCCACCACCCTTTCCCTGGTATCTCCACCACCCTTTCCCTGGTATCTCCACCATCCTTTCCCTGGTATCTCCACCACCCTTTCCCCTGGTATCTCCACCACCCTGGTATCTCCACCACTCTGGTATCTCCACCACCCTGGTATCTCCACCACCCTTTCCCTTGGTATCTTCACCACCCTGGTATCTCCACCACCCTTTCCCCTGGTATCTCCACCACCCTTTCTCCTGGTATCTCCACCACCCTTTCCCTTTCCACGTGTCACAGGTGTGTAGTTTTATAGCTGCTTCTTCTCCTCTCTGCATTTGTGGTAAATGAGGAATAGCATGTTGACAATAATTAATGGTGTACTAGCTGTGCTAGTACTTGTTAGCAACAATCCGAACTAGCGCACACACTGCACTGCATTGCTTTGTACTGCATTCAAGACTGACGTCATGCGCTTTGTTTTGCTGCGTAATCACAAATGGCACCAGCCCATTTTGCGGAAAAGAAAAACAAATCTTGCTTGCCCTGTTGTGCTCTTCCAGACAACGGATCGTGCTTCAGCAGTGTTTCTTTTCCTTTCGTAGCTTTGCTGCCAGCCCGAGTGTCACCTCGACACTGTATTTCTTCAGTATGTCTGACCTAACTGTCGACACTGTCAAGGCAATGCCTTGCCAAGCCCCCGCGGCGAGCCTTCTCAGCGCGGCTTGAATCCGAAAGGAAACTTAGTAAAAGTATTTTACAGGACCGTTTGCTGGCACAACTAGCCCTTGGTAGTGAGGTCTGCTCCGGCCAGGAGAACCAGCAACATGACAGTGCGGACACGGCTCGCGAGCCCAGAAGCCCGACTTGCACCAATGCCTCCTCCGCCAGCTCAGGTGACGCGGGCTCAACGGATCTCTGCGCTCCCGTAGATCTACTTGACGAGGTGTAGTCGGCTTTGTCGGCCGCCATTTTATTATTATCGGGGAGCATTGTGCCGCTCCTCACCCAAGGCCAAGGCAATGCGGCTGCTGCCGCCACAACGCCAGGCCAAGCCCTTGTAACCCACCCGATCAGCCACCTGCACCAGCTGTGCCCAAGGCTGTGCAAGAACGTATCTTGCGAGGGGAGTTCGTAGATTTTTTCAAGTTGGTTGCCTGAAATTCTTGCACACTTCCGGCCCAACATTCCGGCTGGTGCACAGCCCGAATAACGATAGCCAGCTAAATATCGTTGAGTCGGATGACCGTACGCGAAGCAGGTGCGTCGCAAGGTTCACGATAATTATACATGTAACTACCCGGCTCGAGGCATGGACCACATACATGTCTGTTATCACGGCTGCTGCCCTACACCGCACTGCTGAACTGCTGAACTGATTGCGTACCAGCAGTTGATCCTGACTGCTAACCGCCAGTTCTTCCCAAGCGCGTGGCTAGAGTACGACCGCCAGCTGCGGCTGCTCGTGGCCCAGTAACCAGGCACGAAGAGGTTGGACACCATCGACGTGAACCTATGGCAGATAGCTGTCACAGGCCATGCACACCCAAAATGCGCTCAATGTAAGACGGCCCATCCAGGGGCGGTTTGTGTCCTTTTCGTCCCCAAGCCAGCAGCATTTACCTCCAGTGTTCGCAACCATACCAGCGACAGCCAAGAAATCTGCCGCAACTTCAATGGAGGTCGCTGTTCTTCGTCGTCGTGCCGCTTCTCCCACACCTGCAGCCAGTGTGGCAAGGACCACCCATGCATCATGTGCAACCAGCAGCAGCGCGGAGCCAATCGGCCACCCCGCCGCTCCTAGCAGAATGGCTACTGAATAGCTTGACTCGGTACGTAGCTTCTTTCCTATACACTCTGCAGACACCACACTGCTAGCTGACCACTTTGCCCGCCTGTTACGTAACCACTCATATCAATAATGCGTTGCGTATGTTCTCCATGGGCTGCGCCGTGGCTTTACTCTTGGATCTGCCGGCCAACACGACATTTCGGTTTTCTCTAATAATCTACCCTTGGCTTTCACTCACTCGGCATTTATATCCGAGCAATTAGCTGCTTCCTGCGCCCGCAGCGAGACCACAGGCCCATTTCCGTCACCTCCATTTCAGTTCATGCGCCGCTCTGGTATTGGTGCCATCCCCAAAAAGAACGGCAAGCTGCGAATGATCCACCATCTGTCTAGTCCGGAAGGCACCGGCGCGAACGACAGCATTCCTGCCGAGCCGCTCTCTCTGCACTACGCGAGCATTGACAACGCGATCAACATCATCATGTCATGCCCACAGCCTGTGTATTTGTCCAAGCTCGGTGTACGCAGTGCATTTCGGCAGATCCCAGTCCGCCGTCAGGACTTCGCTGGGAAGGCTCCTACTACTACGAGCGCTTTCTGCCTTTCGGCCTCCGCTCCAGCCCAGCCGTCTTTGACTCAGTAGCCACAGCAGTCAACTGGATCATGCAGCACGAGTTTGCTATAGATCACCGGCTTCATTACCTCGATGACTTTCTCGATATCTCCACTGGTTTGGCTGCAGCCAACCAGCAACTCACCACCCCCCTCCGGGCATTCACGTATCTCGGCACTCCTCTTTGCTCCATCCCAGCTCGAGGGCCATCACCATCATTGACCTTGGTATTTTCCTAGACTGCGGCTACCAGAGGACAAGCTGTCCGAGATCCGTGCGCCACTCATGGCTACTATCAGCGAGCGCAGCATCGGCCAGCGTCAACTCGAGTCCCTCCTGGGGAAGCTCACTTTTGCTGCCCGAGTCATCGTTCCTGGACACACATTCATGCGTGAACTATGATCAGCGTGCCCTGAACTGTATCTGTGTATGCGAGTGCGGTGCATAAAGCCCACCTTGAGAATGGGTTTGCCGGCCCCTTAGTAGATGCGTGGCTTCTGGAGAGGGTGTTGAGGCATCCAGCGATGCCATGGTACGGCTGTACTCACCCCTCGCCTTCCCATAACTATGCCAATCCTACGACACCTGACGGATGCACGCCGGAAAAGTAGTATCCTGAATGGCCATGACAAGCTGCTCTACCAAGCCGCCATGCTGCTTCTTTGGATTTCTTCGGTGTGCTGAATTCACTAATGGCATCACACGGGGCTGTACTAGCTCCCCTGGTGACGGACGCCTGCAACTCTTCCTGCTTTCATCCAAGACGGACCCATTCGGTAAAGGCGTTACTAGTGACATTGGCCCGTCTGTACCGCCGTACTGCCCGGTCCGTGCCATTGTTAGCTACCCATTTGTCACTCGTCGCGAGGGACCAGAGCAACTCTTGTTCGTACTCTCGAACAGACAGCAGCTGACCAGGCAGTCATTCACAGTAACAGTATGGTCTCTTGTCGCTGCGGCCGGTGTACCATCCCAGTCGAACTACTCCGGGCATTCGGTCTACATTGGTGCAGCCACCACCGCTGCTATGGCTAGTGCCCCGACTCCTTCTTCCGAGTGGCAGGTCAGTGGAAAGAGCGATGCGTGTCTATGCTACATCCGGACTACAACAAGCGCTAAGCACCAGCTATCGTCCCGGCTTGCTGCCGTGCCATGGATGCCATGATCCCCAACTCGGGTGAGTAATGAGCTACTGAACTCTAGCTGCGCAATGCTTGCCTGTGCTGACATAAATTGACCCTTGCTGTGCGTCAATAGTGCTTAGCTAACGGAGTGCTGGTTTCATGGGTCCACTCTCACAACTGGTGTTATCTAGCTATTTGCTGCGGCTCTGCCTTGCGCTATATTACATCCATTTAGCATTGCAGCTCTACGTTGAGCTAACAGCAGCTCTACTTTGAGCTAACAGCAGCTCTACTTTGAGCTAACAGCAGCTCTACTTTGAGCTAACAGCAGCTCTACTTTGAGCTAACAGCAGCTCTACTTTGAGCTAACCGCAGCTCTACTTTGAGCTAACAGCAGCTCTACTTTGAGCTAACCGCAGCTCTACTTTGAGCTAACCGCAGCTCTACTTTGAGCTAACAGCAGCTCTACTTTGAGCTAACAGCAGCTCTACCTTGAGCTAACAGCAGCTCTACTTTGAGCTAACAGCAGCTCTACTTTGAGCTAACAGCAGCTCTACTTTGAGCTAACCGCAGCTCTACTTTGAGCTAACAGCAGCTCTACTTTGAGCTAACCGCAGCTCTACTTTGAGCTAACAGCAGCTCTACTTTGAGCTAACAGCAGCTCTGCTCTGAGCTAACAGCAGCTCTGCTCTGAGCTAACAGCAGCTCTGCTCTGAGCTAACACCAGCTCTACTTTGAGCTTCAAACCAGTTGTTTCGAAACCAGCACTCCTCAATCCAAAGATGCCTCTTTGTTGACTTGTTTGTGTGAGGGATGGGGCTAATGGTGTACTAGCTGTGCTAGTACTTGTTAGCAACAATCCGAACTAGCGCACACACTGCACTGCATTGCTTTGTACTGCATTCAAGACTGACGTCATGCGCTTTGTTTTGCTGCGTAATCACAAATGGCACCAGCCCATTTTGCGGAAAAGAAAAACAAATCTTGCTTGCCCTGTTGTGCTCTTCCAGACAACGGATCGTGCTTCAGCAGTGTTTCTTTTCCCACCATCCCTCCCTATCCAACTTATTCACACCATCATAATTATCGTACCCACTAATCGGGTCCACTCTCACAACTGGTGTTATCTAGCTATTTGCTGCGGCTCTGCCTTGCGCTATATTACATCCATTTAGCATTGCAGCTCTACGTTGAGCTAACAGCAGCTCTACTTTGAGCTAACAGCAGCTCTACTTTGAGCTAACAGCAGCTCTACTTTGAGCTAACAGCAGCTCTACTTTGAGCTAACCGCAGCTCTACTTTGAGCTAACAGCAGCTCTACTTTGAGCTAACCGCAGCTCTACTTTGAGCTAACCGCAGCTCTACTTTGAGCTAACAGCAGCTCTACTTTGAGCTAACAGCAGCTCTACCTTGAGCTAACAGCAGCTCTACTTTGAGCTAACAGCAGCTCTACTTTGAGCTAACAGCAGCTCTACTTTGAGCTAACCGCAGCTCTACTTTGAGCTAACAGCAGCTCTACTTTGAGCTAACCGCAGCTCTACTTTGAGCTAACAGCAGCTCTACTTTGAGCTAACAGCAGCTCTGCTCTGAGCTAACAGCAGCTCTGCTCTGAGCTAACAGCAGCTCTGCTCTGAGCTAACACCAGCTCTACTTTGAGCTTCAAACCAGTTGTTTCGAAACCAGCACTCCTCAATCCAAAGATGCTTCTTTGTTGACTTGTTTGTGTGAGGGATGGGGCTAACAGAAATTGGCGTCGGAAGTTAGCGTTGCTTCATACAAACCAAGGCCGCTATTTCACAATTTTCCATTTTCTTCTAAATGTTCTTCAAGGCCTGTTTGTTTGTCGGGCTTTTTACAGACAACCTCTAGCGTTTACCTCCAGCTAGATTGATTTCACAAAAATGTATCCCCTGACCACCACACACGCAAAGTTTCTGAAAGCAACTTTCTAAACACGTGTAATTTGACTGCGTGGCTTCTATCCCATAGATGTGAACTGTCCTGACAATTTTTTCAGCTGAATTCAGAATTTGCTTCTTCACTATATTTTTTCTGTACAGCACTCGGGTGGAGAAGCTACTTAAAGAAGTAAAGGACAGCAGGAGAAAGCAGCAATGCAGTTGTCAGGAGAGAAAGGGACATGCTACTGACACTGATCAGTCTGACAGTAGTCGCTCATCATCAGATGTCTCAGAGACAGACAAAGCTCGCAGTCCTCTGGGAGTGAAGAGTGAGGATGTTCAATATGATCAACAAGGTGGTGGTGCTCAGATGAACTATGAAGTATCAAGTGCAAGTGCCCAAATTTCGCCCGCTGCTCCAGTGCCCGTTGCAATGTCTTATGATACAGACGTATCTGCAATTCTTCCGGAGTATGCGGCCCAACATTCGATCCCTTCAACAAAGAAGTTTAAAAGACGTGGTTCAGCGCCATCACATCATTCTACTCCTGTCTCCGTAGGTGATTCTGGGAGGAGGTGGCACTCAACCACACAGCATCCATTTCGCTCAAAGCGCTAGAGCAATTCTCCCAGATAGGAGAGATCATGTGCTAGGTCTCCACTTCAAGTCTCCGCAGCATGAGACAGTCCAGCAGCATCAGACAGTCCAGCAGCATCAGACAGTCCAGCAGCATGAGACAGTCTCCGCAGCATGAGACAGTCCAGCAGCATGAGACAGTCCAGCAGCATCAGACAGTCCAGCAGCATGAGACAGTCCAGCAGCATGAGACAGTCCAGCAGCATGAGACAGTCCAGCAGCATGAGACAGTCCAGGGAGAAGAAATTAGCCAACTTTGAATACTGCGGCCCAACGATGAACTTGCACTTTTCCACCCCATCCACAGTGCTGTTTTCTCAGCATTTTTGTATGATTACTGCCAACTTCAAAGTATTCTTTTTAAAAGTCCTTTGTGGCCCATATCAAACTTCTGATACATTTAACAAAATCCGCAGAGCTCCCAAATATCTTGCTGTCCTTGCTGTGTCACAGTGCATTGTCAATGAACATTAAAAGAGTTAAAAGTAATCGTGCTCACTCGTGCATGTAAGCGTGAATGCAGTTACATTGTTATCAAAGCACATAGTCGTGCTGGACTATCGAAGGCTTGTTGCTGGAGTGCTGCCCCCTTTTTGATCTTTTTCTCCTTAGTTTTATGACCGATAAGTAGGCCATATCCAATTCTCTAAATTCAATCCAATTACAGTATATTCCCTTGCAAGATGTTGCAAGTCCTAGCTATGACAACGAAGCCATGCACATTTCATCTTTATCTACTAGTATCCATCTAGTTTGCAAAGATATAATCAATTTCTTTCCATTTGCAATCAAGTCAATCATGGCAATACTTGAGTACTAGTACGCTACCCCTCCCTCACCCCTCCAGCAGATACGTAGGAAGTAAGCCAAGTGTAGCGTTGGCAAGCTGGTAACGCACACAGCTGCAGCGTGAATCACTTTCAATGTATTGGTCACGCGTGTTACACGGTACCCGTACCCGCACTTGCAACGCTGTACCGTTGTCACATGCTTGCAGATCCATGACATGGATAGTAACTAGTCTCACTGCGTTCAATGTTTCATATTAACCTTAGAAGTACTAGTCTAGACCTTTTGCTGCACTTTCAACCGCCTTTCATTTACGCCCCATTGCCCACATCGCATTCAGCTCTTCTTCTGCGTGGAATCAAATGGCATTCCTTGTGCAATGACTGTAGCCAACACATCTACTTTGACCTTTCTTCTTCTCTCTGCTGAGCTTTGCCGTGACCATTGCTGTTGCAGCACTTATGCTGTCTGTCTATAAAAGCTGCTGTTCACAATTCTCCACACTTCAGTTAGAAACGTCAGTTAGAGTTACACTACAGTAAGATTTCGAGTCAGAGTTAAAGTTTACAATGTAGTCTTTAGTTCAGTTCAGTAATAATGAACAACAGTGTGTTCACTGAGACCCGGGTGCATTTGCCTCTGAGAGAGAGACTGCGGCCCGCTACACAAATACTAATAATTATTAGTTGTTCTGTACCCCCCCCCCCCCCCATATGGTGTGAGTACCTCTCGTATAAATCTATTTCCAAAGATGCAACTAAGTTACTTACTTGCAATCATGGCATTTCGCCTGGCCCACACACACTAGGCCAATTTTTCGGCCGATATGGGATTGTACGTCAAATTCTCGAGATCGGAGCGAAAATTGCCAGGTGTGGACGGTGTTTTCGCATGCATTTCTGACAAATTTGTGTGGGTAGTCCGACCCAGTCTAGTCGGCTGATTTCATGTCGGGTCAGTGTCAAAGCTTCGGCCTAGTGTGGGCCAGTCATTAGTTGTATTGTCCTCTTTGTTGTCCCTTGAGTGACGACCACCCCCCCCCCCCCCCCCCCCCCACACACACACACACTGATGATATGTGTGCATAACAATGACAGCACAGCTAATGATAGTATTGACAGTCTTCAACTTCAATGGAATCTTGACACATTCAGTAAACACTTCCAGTCAATATTTGTATCGCCCTGACCTACCCTGTGATTTCCGTGGCTCGCAGGCTATCAATCTGATCACGGGGTGCCCTTTATCACCAAAAAGCCGCTTCAGTGATCAATACTCGAAAAAGTGAAGGCGCCGTTGTCTCGATGAAGCTAGCGCGGAAAAGCTGCGAGCTGCCAAGGATCTTCTCAGTCCTTTGCTGGCCTCTTTCTTCAACGCATGAAAGCTTCCTCTTTCTTCAACATGCTGGGACTTTTTTTTTGTACATGTATTCATGGTATTGCCCTGAATCGGCCTGATGATAATAATAATAATTTATTATAAATAATAATTATTATTATGTGGATTGGTCGTACCATGTACCAGTGCATGCAGTGTATACATACCGTACCGGGCAAACAACTCGGAAAACCCCAAAAAAGTTTTACCCCGGTCATGCTTCTCT